CTTTACAATACGAAAGAAAACACACTCCAAATTGTATGTTTTTTTTACAATACTCAAAACTTCCTACCTGGTCGTCATGTGTCATTAAAAGTATTTACAGGTCATTCTCAAGGTAGGTACGCAAATCCATACTAACGAACCTCCGTTATCTACCTGAATAAATTTGGCGTTCACACAAATCGTGTATCCTCAATGATTCACCGAACGTTATCAATAAATTACTCATCTACTCATTGGGAAAAAACGTGATGAGTTGAGTGCATATATTGATACTTTTAAATTCTCGAGATGCTTAGATAAAGTATAAAGCGTTTATTTTGTGTTATTAGTACAGTTGTAAGATGGATTCTCAAGTATGAATTTATCGTACAATTTCTTCAAGGACTTTATATAAAATTTTTAATAGCCTACTGGATATTTCATCAACGGATTAGCCTCAAGATTTGTCTGACCAGTTTTTCTTATGATTCAATCTGCAGATTGAATCGTATTTGCGTTATTTNGTCACAAAAAAAAATACTATAATTTTTAGATTGTATCGATTTCTTTAAAATTGTTATTCACTTATATGTATAATTTATTAGTCTTTGACTAAATAAAGGATTTATATATCTATCCTTGTTTTGTTAGGTTTCAAGTTACATACATTAGAAACAGGCTTGAAAAAGTATATTAGACAATGCCTGCAAATGACTGGTGACTTATTAGTCGTTCTCTTAGATAAGCTGGTCCTGCTCAGTAGTAACAAATTCCTAAATTGATTAGGTCAGAATGTCGGGGGTAATGTTGCAAAAAGGACAATGACAGCTCTGTCCCCTCAGGGAATGATATTTACCTACTGTGATTTGACACCAAACTAGTGTCAAGAAACAAGTCTTCAAAAAACTAATTACAATAACAAAAAACTTTTTGAGTTTTCAAGCCTTTATAGTGTAAAAAATATGAAATCACATATCATTCAGGTATTCATAATGTAAACAGGGGAACATTATCGCCACCAAAGTTTCAAACTGAGTTTTCAAATATTGTTTTTCATACCAAATATTCACCATATAAAACTCTCCGGTAAAAAAAAAATGTCGATTGTTACTTTTTTTTTGTGTCAGTGGCATAAAATTATTATTTATTATATTATTTGCGTGATCATTGTTGTACAACGAGGAACAATACGGAAACAAATGCACAAAGCAAAATCATGTCAATCAAGAATTTTACTGCAATATTTAATTGTTCAATTGCTATTTTATGATCAGAGTCAAAGGCGCTAAAATTTGCGATTATTACAGATGAAGAAATATGTTTCTAACTTTAAGTATGCCTATTTATATCACAACACAAATGTTTCAAATCATAACCGAGTTTTTCCCAAGGCGACCTTGAATTATCAGAAAATAAAACACATTTTCAATAATACAATCGGTTTATTACCTGCCCTCATGTATTTTATAATTGTGACTATTGAATTTTCGGTTTTGTTCAAAACAGAGAACTTGTTCAAAGGAAAACCAAGAGAAATCAGGAAAAAGGTTTTTTAGTTGAGAGATTTTCGTTTATTAATTAGAAAAAATTACTTTTCCATAACATTCCATTANCTTTTTTAAAGTAGAATATCTAGGTACGTATAAATTATTTCAACTTGATATATTATATGCAAGGTAAAATATTTTTAGGAATGGCAGGTAAAGTTCTAGGCGCTGTTGCCAATATGTGAATTAGAAACAAATCCCAAAACCCAATATTTGAAACATCAATTTGAATACTTACTGAAGTGAATTTGAAAAACTCATGAATTGAACACAACTTTATTTTGTTCAAACTTACATTTCCTGTAATAACCCAAATTGAGGAACATTCCCCATTAGAATTGAATAACTTCCCTTTACTAAATATTTTTTTAAATGTGAAAACTAGGACATCAAATTGTAAAATTAGGTATATTAAGCATTGAATATGTAGAATATAGTTAGTGAAGACACGCCAGAAGAAGTCATTGTATGGCGAAACACGTATTGCGTTTTAGTAAAACTGTTTAAGTGGTGAGAATCTCACAATAATGTGTTTTTTGAATACGTTAATTATGGATTACATCGTATCGTACATCATAAAACTCACTTCATTTCAAAACCAGAGAAAAAACAGAAACCATAAATAAAGATAAGATAAAAATATACCTCATGGTCATTCTTCCATAAAAAAGTATACCTTTAAATGGCTGAAGCAGGAAAGGTTTCACTTTTTCAATACACAGGTCCCGGTGTTTTTGAAATTGCCTACATATATGTCATACTCTATACCAGCGATATTTTGTAACTTAATTCAGCTGGCCATGAAATGATTTATTAAAACTATCCAAATTAAAGTTTGAGGCGTAAATTAGTTAATAGTCCATAAAGGAGCAAATGAGACAAGCGCATATTCACTCTTGGCTGATTTTATAATTTCCATTTCTTATCAAGGCAAATATCAGAACTGTTCTTGAATATATTTTTCACTTTGTTGGTTTAAAGAAAATTTCTATAACAAAACTTTAAAAAATAATAATTCCAGAAATGACTGCATTGTTTTTCAAAACATTGTTTTGGTGTTAACATTGACAACTGTAAGCAGAATTATGAACGCATTTAAATTGGCATTATTAAAAAAAATGTGAACAGAATCCTTAAAAAAAAGTATTCGCCTTTTCATAGGTAGATTCGTACATTTTTATGTGGTGGGCTCTATGAAGCCCACAGAATATTCCAGAATGATACGATTAGTATTCTTCTAAAAACAACTGAAGAAACTATTATATCAATGAACATTGCCTAAGCAGTTCATGGATGAATACTAAATTTCTAGAATTTCTATAAGAAAATAAGTACCAAGCATTCAATGTTGTTATATGATTTTACATAACAAATCTGAAAATACATTTTGTAGTTGACTTTTTATAAGGTGACTAACAAAAATATGGAACACATTACATTCAGATTTTTTTAAATAAACATCACAAATTGTTATTTGTGATACCTGAGATATTTTCTATTTTTGCCAAAAAAGAGGATGACATCATGATTTTATCAGATCCAATAATGCTTCAATGAGGTATTTTGAGCAAATGTTAGACCTTATTCTACCTAACTCTGTGATGGTTAATGCAGGTTATCATTCCCGAAAGATATAGGCTTTAAATATGAAATGTAAGTGAAGTCCAAGTTGAAGAGAATTCCTGAAGTAACGAGAAATTAATCTCTGTTCAATTTTAATATGCAAATCTGTTCAATAATAAAGGTTAAAACTAGCATTCCGTACTATAATTCAAACTATGATTCAATTTGAGAAACCCATATTCATGTCAAATCAAAAACAAATCGTCCAACAGCAATTCAAAATTATCTTGCAAATTATCAGAGAAATAATGTTATCTATTTTGAGAGTAAGACAGCAACAGGACAAATACCAATATGTATTGTTATTTAAGTGAATGATCAGGTTGAGTCTTGTTTCAACTGGTAGATCTCCCATTTATTTCTGTAAAGTTTTCACCGCTATAATGGATAGTTGAACTAATCTAAATATTCTTCATTTAAGTAATATAAATTTACAAACGTAGATCAGTCCTCTGAAAATTCATGCAATTATTTGAATAAATTCACTAATACTATTTATTCTAGGATAGCAAGTTTGATTTGAAGATTTTTTTTTATTTACATTGGAAAAGAAAGTAGGACTTTAACATCAAAGACATTACATAAAATAAAGAGCCATACATTTACAGGCATTCAAAACTTGTGTGAAGTTTCTCATGTGTATTTCTTGATATCAGAAAATGTTTCAGTTCAAGTTATATATAAAAGAAATGTTTTGTGAATATAGGCGGGGGAAAAGGTTGAAATTTCCAAAAGTGTGTACTTTTCCTAGCAGCCTTATTTGTAAAAAAGTTGGTACTAAAAGTGAAATGTAATACATTTTTTGGCTATTGCTATTTTATGGTTCTATAATTAAAAGCTAAGATGTAGCCGTTACTATGTAGAAGGAAATCATAATGAAGAAAAGAGAATTGAAAACTTTCTATGTTTTTTACCACTTTTATTTGTAACTAACGTTACTGCAGTTTCCTCCTACAAGGACATTTTCAAACTTATACATTAAACTAACAATGGTTTATTACATTAGCCCTTATATAGCATCCCTGTAGGTAATAATAGAGGTACTTGGATTGATTGAGTACCTGAATTTTGTTTACTAGTTACAATGCGTATATGTTAATTTGAGAAAACTAAATCGATTTAATCATTTAACAGGTTGCACCCGCAATGTTTATGCTTGTGAATTTCCAAGGATTCTAAATTTTGCAATATGCAAGGAAAGGTTACAAACTCAACTCTCACTTCCACGTCATGTGCCCTCTGAATTTTTAAATTGTTTTTCAATAGGATTTCTGAAATTCATCATGGAATTGCAAGAAATATCCAGTTCAAGTGTAAATCGAATTATGGATCTCATGATATTTTTCTCGGTGTCGGCGACAGCACCATCGAAAGCTATGGTCATTAGTTTCAATAAGTAAACATTATTATTGGTCATAATAGATAAGTCATTTGATTTTTGGCAAGGCACCATATAGGTAAGTGTGTACAGTTGAAATGTTCACACAGACCCTGCAATTTAAGAATACCTGACAACACTAATCTATAAATTTAGGCAATAACTAAATAGAAAATAAATCTAATTATTTATGTCACTAAACAACTAACAGTACTTCAAATTCGTATTCAGAATATGAAATTACCAAAACGAAGCACATTCAAGAATCAGAATATGAAATTACCAAAACGAAGTACATTCAAGAATGTTGAAATTTATACTTCCTGGTAACATAATTAGGTTTTTCCTCTTCATGACCTACTTTATGAGTCATTTAACTTTAAATAAGAAAGATTAAGCATCAAGATAAAAGATTGTCATAAAAACTGATATAACTTATAAATGATTGGAATTGAATGTAAAGGGATACTTACCAGTTGGAACTCTCTTCGTCTCTCATAAGCTCTTAGTATGCCAGAATCTTTCCAAAGCCTAGATAGAAGAGGTGTGAACTGACTAAAAGTCCTGGAATCGAGAACTAAATTGTTGTCGAACTGTAACAACTCTCTGCCCAAATCAACGTTATTATTGTTACCCCAAGGTATTCCCAGTTTGTCTCTAGCGTCTGCCAACACTCTCATTCCCTTCACTAAGTTTTGATAAATAACCTGCTGATACTCCTTCACTAAATGGCTCTCAAATTTAATTCCATGGATGATCCTCATTTGCTTGAGGAACGTCGATTTTCCACTCTCTCCAGCCCCTAGTAGCAAAAGCTTAACTTGTCTCTTCATGGCCTGTTTGTCTTTTTCAATAATCTTATCGATTTCCAGACTCTTGTAACGTTGTTCCAGTTCTTCGGGGCTGAACTTGAACCGCAAACAACACGAACAGGACCACATCACATTTGACATTTTAGCGAATTATAAACGCAAACTTGAACTTCACAACTACATTCTTAAACCTGCCGTAACAGAGCCAGAAGATCGACTGAATTGATGAAAGCGCTTGCGCTCCGATGTTTGACTAGCCACAGCCTTTCTTCTTCTCATTTAGACATTGACATTAGAATACACAGACGGTTGGACCACTAATTATACACGTCAAAAGGATAGCCCAGTTCAACTGCAATTTCATTACATCAGCGAATATATTGATTATTTACACTTGGTTGAGTTTTTATCACCTAGTATCTTTCACTTTCTAATGTACTTTCATCATATCTTACTAATCATATGTTTTCTATATCCATTGAATATGTTTAAAGATATTTTAACATGCAGTTAAAGCTACGGTATTGGTACTTGAACAACCCACTGTAAGTTTAAACACACACCATATAAAATTTAAATCCATGTTGAAATTAGGTTTCATTCTGTATCACTGAGTCGAGCAGACAGGGGATATGCTTATATCGTCTACGAATAGATCCTACAGTACGTACTTACTTACGAGTATCTACTATTTGGAAGAGAAGAACCAACCTGTACTCATGGCGGTGCTCCGTTGACTTCATGACATTTTATATGTGAAAATATTTATTTTATTTATATTTATTATTTTCTGTTCCTTGTAAGACGAAACTGCAGTAACAACATTAGTTACGAATAAAAGTGGTAAAAGAACAAAGAAAGTTTTATTTCTCATTTTTCATCAATAATTATTTCTGAATTTATCCAAACCCAGTTTTACAGAAATTATATAGTTTAAAAGTATGAACATTTATCAGCGAGAAGTAGCCACTAATTAAAGTAGTGTGTATTCTATGAGGAATTCAGGACTTAACAGTGACAATCCTCTTATGAAAAGTAATAAATCCTGACAAAGGTTTTGGAACGTACTATGAGTTATACATACTATATATTATTTTAGTCATTCTTATTATCATCAAAATGCATTTCATCTACCCTGAGTTGCACGATTTTCATGTCAAAATATTTCGTGTTTCAAAATTACATGCCGAATTTCTAATATCCTTCAATAATGTTGACTCTTTGATCTTCAGTTCCGAATGTAATGCGATTCTTTAATAAATAACAGCAGATCAAAAGCTGGAAATTCGATTCAGAAGTAAGTGTATATGGATACATATTATTTTCCTATTAACTGTAATTTCCGTATCTGTGTATAAAAACAAAAACGCTTTCCAGAATATTACATACACGATACCAAAATGTCATCCGTTCCCTACGTGGAGGACTTTTTTGTTGTGAATCGCTGGATTTTGCGTTGTGCTGGCTTGTGGAGACCAGAAACCAAGAACAAAACCATTCAGTTGTTATACACTGGTTATGCCACAGGAATTTTTCTGTTTGTTAATGTATTTTTCACATTTACTGAATTTCTAAGTTTGATTTATACTTACAATAATGAATACGACTTGATAAAAAATGTGAGTTTTGCTCTTACTCATTTAATGGGCGCTGTGAAGGTGAGTAATGCAAATATTGTACAATTTCTCTTTTCACTGAAAGTAAAATTCCAGTGAAGGTCCTCCTTCACTTGTTCAATCCATCCTACTTCGATTATATGTATGTTTTACAGGGTGAACTGACACATTCCACTTTTAGTGTGATCATATTCCCATATACCACACCTTGCTTCCTGCAAACTTTCGGGAAACGAGAACTTTCTTGTGACTTCTAAACGGTGTGTGTTCTTTGAAACGAGATTCATTAGCTCGCTTATTCAGACCAACATATGTTTGTCGCATAAATCCTAGACTTTTCCTTACAATGCCTGAAGTGAAAAGACAGTTTTAAAGTATACGTTCAGTTTTTTGAAAATCCCTTCCAACTTATTATTTTATCTTGGTTCATTGTCTTTTGTAAAACTCGAGGATTTATGAAGACACTTCTTGAATATACGTTTCCCAATTAACGTATCGACTAGGTATATTTTAAGATATATTTTTCTTACTCGAGGGAAATGTGAATGAGTTTTTTGGTATTTCTGACGACGCAAACTCATCTGATGATGCAAACTTGATTGGTGAAATGTGCGCCGGGAAAAGTGTTTACGTTCCATTTCTACCTTTCAGTGAGCAGGGAAAGTGCAACGATTGATTTAGTAAACAGTTTTCACCTTCGAGAAGGGGTGACATACACCCCCAGGTACAAGCAACCCTCGGTACGGGGTCAATTTTTAAGTAGAGAGTAAGTAGAACTTAAATCTAAATTTTTGTGCAAATTGATGCTGTTTGGAAAAATTTTGGGATATCGCCATATTTCATAATGTTTAGACTATCAGGACTTGCTATTGCTCCTGCTTTATGAGGGGTAATCCCCCCGATGACAGCCCCTTTTGCTACCCGTGCCATCACCACTTCAACATCCTTTTATTATCAAATCGAAGCGATTTAAGAAATATGTTTGTTTATATGAATTATTTTCATAAAACATCATAGGAAATCCATCCCCCAAAATTAAAGTCATCTCTTAAGTTACGCCCTGTATAAGAAAGGAGCTGCTTCAAAAGAGAAATATTGAAAACAGATTTGTTTATCATTTGGAAGTACCAGGCTGGATTCATAATAATTTTGCTAATAATTGAACCTCTTCAAAGTTTAAGAGACATGTTCAAAAATCTATGAAATCAGGGAAACATATCGTCATTATTACGGTTTGGGTTAATATTTGGCAGGGTAGAAAATATGTTTGAGTCTGTATTTCTCGTGATATATGCAGCTCTGTCAAAAAAGTCGAAGAATACAACTTGCACAGCCGGTTCGAATCGAATTCATTTTGAATATCTCCTACCTTTTTATGTTATCCTACTATTCGAGGCAATGATTACAGTCCCTCTCTTTACCTGAATCAAGCAAATCAAATTTACCAAAAAAAAAAACAAACCCATTCTTGTTTAACAGAAGTAAAAAATAAATACGAGTTGGTGGGACAGATGGGGCTTCTTTTCCCCTCTTAACAATATGTGCAAGTGGCTGTGTTTGTTGTTGGTCAGTCAAAAAAGGTTTACAAATTGGTGCATCAATAAATAAATCGACATACCTACTTCATAAAATATGTGAATTTACTTTCAACTTTATTGTTTTCAAGAAACTACAAAGTTTATAATAATAGGGAAATACCGAAATAAAAATATACTATTTGAAAAAAAAAGATTTACTTACTACAGTAGGTAGAAAAATTTGTGAAGACAAAGTAAAAAATCGATTTCATTCTACCTAGTAATAGACTACTAGCACTCTTTATGTGTTTATGAAACGTATTTATACTATAGACAAATGAATATACCTTTTCTATTTGACTATTATTTGAAGATAAATTGTTTGACTTTATAGATTTGGATTTGGACATTGGAATATGTAATATTTAATTTCACCTCTGTATAAAGTTACATAATATCCAATTAATGTCCAAAACTTACTTGGGAAGTATATTCAATTGATTCAATTGAGTATGTTATATGTATGTTACATTGCTGTTACCTGTCTTGGCTTATATTCTCCTGTTATCAAAAACATCGAATGAGTTCCTACTTGAACAACCCACTGTAAGTTTAAACACACACCATATAAAATTTAAATCCGATATTGAAATTAGGTCTCATTCTGTATCACTGAGTCGAGCAGACAGGGGATATGCTTATATCGTCTACGAATAGATCCTACAGTACGTACTTACTTACGAGTATCTACTATTCTATTTGACTATTATTTGAAGATAAATTGTTTGACTTTATAGATTTGGATTTGGACATTGGACTGTGTAATATTTAATTTCACCTCTGTATGAAGTTACATAATATCCAATTAATGTCCAAAACTTACTTGGGAAGTATATTCAATTGATTCACACTTCAGTACGTTACATTGTTGTTACCTGTCTTGGCTTATATTCTCCTGTTATCAAAAACATCGAATGAGTTCCTTTCCTTGAAAACAATTTCAAAAATGCACCTCGGCATGCAACAAACAATCAATAATAAATAAAATATTCAATCATCATCTGTTTGTATATTCATTTATTTTTCGACAGTTTGATTTTCTTATATTAAAAAGTGAATAATTTGAAAATGATCCTTCTTGAATAGTTAGTTAATTTCAAAAAGAATAAGCTACCTATCTATCTATCTAAAATTGGCCATAATGAATTTCATGTATTTAAGACGTGCGTTTCGTTAACAAAGTAAGCATCATCAGGAGATGACTGATTTGGAAGTGATTTCGTATTGAGGTCGTCTATTTGATATCCTTCAAATATTTTTCAGGTCATCTTCTTTTATTTTCAAGGAAATAACCTAATAAAGATCATGACAACTTTGGAATCTGCTGAACTCCACTACGAAAACAGTTTTGAAAGGGAATTTTTTCCCGGTTTAATTTCAAGGACATACAAGAAAGAAGGAATTAAATATACGCTATTATTTTTCATGCTTGCACACGCAACTTTGATATCATCTTATATACCACCCACTATAGCAGCGCTTCAGTATGAAGAGGGTAATCCAAGGAAAACATTACCCGAAAAATTGCCATATTATAGTTGGATGCCATTCCGATGTGCTACTTCTACTACTTATTTGATAGCATTGGGGTATCAGGCTATACCTATGTTTTCTTACGCTTATAGGTAAGAACGGTTAATTTTTTTTACACGCTTTATATTAGCTTCCCCTACATGTATGTTTGTTTGTAACTCTCCTTTTCATTTCATATCGGGATCTTTATTTGACAGAATTATCGACATTATTGCTTGATCTATTCGCGGGCAGATGGCGCTGTACGTAACCTCCTTGATATATCGACTTTATTGCTTGATCTATTCGCGGGCAGATGGCACTGTACGTAACCTCTTTGATATATCGACATTATTGCTCGATCTATTTGCGGGCAGATTGCGTTGTACGTAACTTCCTTGATATAACAATGTATCCCTTGATTGAAAAAAGTATATTTTTTAATATCACGAGCGCCTGCTGCCTTATTTGTAACCCTCCTTTGCGCGCCTGCTGTCTTGAGCTTTGGCTCCCTCTCCGGAATCGAAAAATATCAATGATCAGTTTTCCAAACAATATACGGCTGATTAATTCCCAAGTTTAGATAAAATAAAAAACACGCTTTTATAGCATACGAAACTAAAAAATGAAAAATAAATATAGTTTCAGAAACTAAAAAACACGCTGTTAAGGAACATTGAACTAAAAAGTAAATAAGCTTAAAACAATAGCGAACGAAAAATACTAGTATTATTGTGAAAAAAGCGTGGGCGCTTTGTGCCATTTTTTTTTATATCAAGCACCCGTTGTTTTTTTCACAATAATACTAGAATTTTTTGTTCGTTATTGTTTTAAGCTTATTTAAAAAAATGTTTTTAACTTTTTAGTTCGATGTTCTTTAAAAGCGTGTTTTTTATTTTTTCAAACTATATTTATTTATTTGATCCTTTTACGCTTCCGTACTTGGACCCCTTTCCCATGTTAAATACTTTGTCAAAAACTCTCGACCTACGGCACTCTTGATAAAGAAATAATTAAGAGGTCCTATAAGTTTCAGCTACTCATTCACAGAGGTGCTGAGTACTCTTAGGCCGGCCGCTCACGTGCAGTTTTAACTGTCAGTTTTTACTGTTCAGTTTTTTTCATGATCAAACGGGAACGACGGTATGGCCACGCTCGGTTTACTTTTTGCAACGTTAGTACAAAAAAGAAAAAAAATAAAAAGGGTAAACATTGGTGACCTTAGGCTTTTTATTTTTGCCATAACTTTTTCTTTATGGCACCAGGTTTCAATTGCTCAAACTTCTTTGCCGATTTATTGTACGCTGCATCCTTTTTTTGCACGATCATGGTAATGAGCCATAATTAAGCAAGGTTTCGATCGATATAGCTCGATAAAGTCAACATAAACTTGGTTTTGTTTACGCGACATGTTGATGCACACTCTATAGTCACCGTATAGAAGTAAACACAAGTAAATTCACTCCCGGTCGGCGTCTTTGATGTATTGGGTAGATATTTCATTTTTTGCTGGCATATGACAGGGCAGGAGGGTGTAGGCTAAGAACTATGGTGCACTTCTGCACGATCAAAAAATATGTGACCATGATCTGACTTCATCACTGCTACGAGGAGCTCACAATAAATGTCTCATATGATTGTGAACTGTTTATAGGAATTGATAAAAAATAAGACAAGGTGGAGAAATGAACGTATATTTTGTAAAGTAAGATTATTCAATTTAAGTCAAAAACTTATGATGATAATCTATTCTATGTTGATACACACTCTATTATAGTGATGCTCGGTCGGTGCGCGACGTTCACCTGTCTGCCTGTGGGAGAAACAAACGGCACCTAGTCACATAGTGGGGTTCAGGGGAAGTTTGACTCTAGTTGTCGACACAAACTAAACTGAGAAGTATGGACAATGCCAGTTCAAACCGCCACACACACTCAGTTCAGTTTGTCATTTCAGTAAAGAATATGAATGATTTCATTTCTCTTAGTTAAACTATACAGTTGAAAAATTGGGGTTGAACTGTGACCAAAATAGCCACACACGTACAGCTTTGTTAGTTTCAACTGTTTTGTTATAACTGTCTGTTAGAAATGTACGTGAGTGGCCGGCCTTACAAGTGACACTGTTTGACAATATAAAATTAATATTTCAATTCTCAATGTTATAATTAACTTTATTTGTGAAATTGTAAAACAACAATAAAAATTAATTGGCGCTCCGGGGCGACTTCATTGATTCCAGTGGCGCATTTGCTTTTTCAGCTACAGGAAAACCCGGAAAAACCTGCAGCACCACATCTCTGAAGATCTTGATCTGTCCATGTCCTCTCTCTCATGAAACAAAATATAGGGTGTGTCCAGAGGCTCCAATAAATTCAATCGCCAGAACACTTCGTGACACAACTATCGTTAAACTTTAACCAGTCCGTTTCGTCTTTGACAAAGGCGTAATAATGACTACGAAGAGTATTCAACAAGAACTCCAAGAATTCAGAACAATCCTCTTGTTGTCCTAACGAGTATCTAGTGGACTTCAGACTCCAGGAAATCGGTTAGAGGGAAAGATGATACGTTCTCCAGTGTTATTTACATTTGGGAATGAATTGATATTAAGTAAAAGATTTTTTACATTATGCATTACATTATTATGGGTCAGTATCGTCCCTCGCGTCAAGAGTTTTTATCAAAACGAAGGCGAATCTGTTCAAACCCCAGGGTTTTTATGCGTCTTTATAAAATTATAAATGGTCATAATCATGGATACTTGTAACGACCATATATTCATATTGTTACAGACATGGCTCCTTCGTTACAAACGCGTTGAAGGCTAATGGAAAACGCAAATCATAATTACAGTTTAATTAATTTTTTTTCATGACACTGAGGTTATTTTTAATTTGTACGCACATTATTTACTTTTTGATCTCGACCCTCCTTTTATATGTTTAGTGACCCTATTTAAACTGCCTCAATTTTTTTAATTGTATTATACTTTTCAGCATAGTGGGCATGGACACATTGTTCATGAATATAATGAACTGCATAGGAATGAATTTGGATATCATCCAAGGTGCATTTGCGACACTCAGAGAAAGGTCTGTTGAAAAAACCACAGGCCCTTTGTTAACTCCGGATGGACTTTACAATTCCCAAGATCTGAAAATAATTTTAAACCAAGAAATGAAAAAAGTTTGCAGGCATCTCCAAACAGTTTACAAGCAAGTGTTTCATAGCATCAGAAATGAGACAGTTACGTTCTTTTTTTCTGATTTTTTTAGGGTCTGTGAAGATTTGGAGAATATACATACATTTTTGACACTATCCCAAACTACAGCAACTTTGTTTATACTTTGTTCGTGCTTGTATCTGGTTTCGACGGTAATAATCATTTAATTTTTTCATTGTTATTTACAAAGGGCCACGAATTTTCCCAAAAAACTAAATTCCCTTTGAATTTGGTCTTCATGAAACTACCGTCTCACTAAAGAAGCATAGAAACCCTGGTGCTGTTTTTGTTTTGTCAAAATCTCTCTACGCGAGAAGTGAGACTGACACAAATTTGTACACATTTTCATAGATGGAGCACAAATCGAAATCTGTCACTCATATTTCATTCATGGATCGTAAATATCAATTTATTCTCAAATGTAAATTGAAGTACCTATTTGACATTGTCAAGCAGTGTCAGTTTTAGGTGTACTCAGCGCCTCTGTGAATGGTAGACTGAAACTTATAGGATCTCTTCATTTCTTTATCTGTACGTCAAGTGTTTTTGCAAAATGGGAAAGGGTTCCAAGGATCTCAATATCAACATGATCACTCAAGTGAATATTATTGTTTTCAGACCCCTGCATCTAGCAAACAATTTTTGGCGGAGATTGTTTATATGATAGCTATGGGTTTTCAGCTTATACTGTATTGTTGGTTTGGAAATGAAGTTACCCTCAAGGTAATTTAGATAGTGGATAATTTTAATATGATAATGCTAATATTTCCTCGAATAATTCGGAGTGTCAGATCAAATAGACATGGAAGGACTCTGAAGGGTTTGCTTTGCCATAACTTCTGGTCAGAGTAGAGTCAAAATAGAAACAGATTTTCGTTTTTATTGCCTACCATTACTGATATTGATAATGGGGAATGTTACTCAGTTTGGGTTATTACAGGAAATGCAAGTTTGAACAAAATAAAGTTGAGTTTAATTCATGAGTTTTTCAAATTTATTTTGAAAAGTATTCAAATTGATGTTTCAAATGTTGGGTTTCAATTTTTAAAGGCATTTTTTTCTAATTCACATATTGGCAACAGCGCCTATATCAAGTTGAAATAATTTATACGTACCTAGATATTCTACTTTAAAAAAGGAAAATTATCTTTATAAATCAACAATTAAGACAAAATATAAATTATAGTTCAATACCACCTCCACAAGCCACATAAACAACAGTTGTTTTGTTATTCATTTATATAGAGGAAGATAGGTTAGGTGCACAAAATGTCATATGTCACAGAATGTGAACAGAACAGCACGCCTCCGAAATATGTCATCTTTGTTTGTCTCATACAGGCAACAGATTCATTGTCCTTTATTAGCTATAACCGATGTTGCCAAATGGTGAAATAGAAACGAATCCCTTTAAATGTTGAATGCATTATTTCATTCCTCTTTTTTAAGTATTTAAATAATTTTTTAAAGAAAAAGGTTGAAATGATAAGTTTAAAATACGTTGTTTTAGAGCTTTTTTATGAAAATTACTTGATTTTCGTCAGGAGGAACATTCCCCATTGCGCTTGATGTACAGGCCATTTCACCAAAAACTCCCACACGAGATATCTCCAGAACTAGGGATACATTTCAATTCTGCAAACTCTAGGGAATTAACAAGAATGATGAAATCATCTTGACATAAGAGTCAATTTAATTTTTTTATTTTTGTAGATGGCGATGCGGCTTGAAAGTATTTTTCGATGGCAATAACTTTTGAATTCAGTGTTATAGATATGGAATTCTATTATGAACAGTTTTGATAATTAAAGCAATTCTGTAAAGCGAGCGATTTAAGAGATATATAAAATTCAAAGATATATTTGCACTGTATTTGTTTTCCTCGAACAACAAAATAGATCATTAAAGACGTGCTTATATATCTATTTTTGACACATGTAAATGAAAATGTAGATACCTCATGGTGTATTCATGGAACAGCGATTTCTTTAAAGTCCCATCAAGCGATATAATTTTAATATTTTCTAAATTTTTAGTGATTTTTTGAAATTTGTTTTTAGGCCGACAATATGCCTTTTTACATTTGGCAATGTGACTGGATTACCGCAGACTCGGAATTCAAAAGAGCGATGATTTTTACTATGGTTCGAGCAAAAAGACCTCTTCGTCTCACGGCTGGAAAATTCGCTCCCCTCACTCTGGGAACTTTTATTGCAGTTGGTATAACAAAGAATAAACGTTCTCTTAAGATAATCATATCCTCTTTCAGATCATCAAGGCGTCCTATTCTTTCTACACCGTTATTAAAAATACGTCTGACTGAAGAAATCGCAAGGTTTCGAAACAGGTACTATAAATGGCTTCACACTAAATAAATACAAAAACAAAGAAAACTGTTTCTGAAAATTGAATTTTTAAAGCTTGAGTTGTACAAGTAGAAATTTAGATGTTTCGAATAATCGATTTCTGCAAACAAAATTGAAGTATGTGTATATTGAATAACTTCGCCAGGAAATGTCATAAAAAACTCTTAAGTTGAAGGAATTATTTTGGTGGTTTACAGGGGTTTCCATTTCGTAAATTTTTCATGAATCGCTACACTTGTTGAGATAGTCAGGATCTTTTACGAATTCAACAGCATTGCCGCAGGATTTGGATGATTTTTAAAATTTTATTATTTCGATAGTAGGAATATTATGAAAGTAGTATAACGGTACCTTCCAATGTGAAATTCTTACTGCTCCTGCAATAAAACGCGAACGCACATGCACACAACGAGATTTTGTTGCAAATACAGCTGATTTTTCACTATTCATGAAAAGAATAAAGGGCAGTGAAATTCAACTTTCAAACAAAATGTGTCATTTTTATGATTCTATTGTTATTAAATAATTTACAAAAAGGCTCTGAAATAATTTAATTTTTCGAACTGTCTAAAATTTGAATATCTCTCGTATGAAAATAAGAATCAGTTCAAAAAAGAAGATGCTAATCTCTGCTACTAGAAGGAAAGGACTTTTATCTGGCAGAATAATTTTCAATAATATTTTCTGCCTTATTCTTTGGCATATTTGGAATATTCAAACAGATGGGTTTATAAAAAAATGTCTAAACCTATAACTGTATTATAGTTGTAGGTTGTGGAACTTCAATAACTGACTCTCCGTAAGTCCGTAACTTTCATAATGGAGGATCCTATACCAAAAGCTACCGATTGATTGAAGCCAATAACTAAGGAAATTCAAACTCAAATTGTGTTTAATAATATATTAGTTGTTTCAAAAGTGTTATCCGTTTCAATGTATTTTTGAAGTCCCATATCTCAATAAATATTTATTCTGCTTCATTAGTCTGGATTTCCATTTCCTACTTCCCTACTAAGTTTGTTTGTTACGGTTTCACGCAAAAACTAGAAACCGATCATCATGAAAATGTGTACAGATGTTCTTGGAGGATACTTTTTATTAAAAAAAATTTAATTGTTGACAAAAAAATATTGTAACTATTTGTGTGAAATGGTCTGTCACGAAACTCAATGTGACAAACCAAATCCTACGCAGGCGAAGCCGTGGGTACCTAATAGCTAATATCATATAAATTGATTTAAAATCCCTGAAAGAATCTATAAAAAATTGAAAAGATTTGCTGAAAAAAAAAATAATTATATTGAGCAGAAAAAACTGAAATTACAATGAAATAAAATACAAGCAACAATAAAACGATAAAAAAATTGAACTATTAACACAAGATGAAAATTAATAATTATTAACAAGAAATGAAAATTGAAAAATTGAAAATTAAAAGATTCCAAGCCAATAAGTTACTTGGCTGCCGAAACACTCCGAAAAGTTAACCAGGCATTTGGCAATGATAGTGTTAATGAACGCACTGTTCGACGTTGGTTTGCGGAATTTCGTTCCGGAGACTTTAGCCTCGAAGATGAGCCCCGAAGTGATCGACCTACAGTATTCCAGGACGAGGATTTGAGAACTCTGGTGGAGACTGACCCATCTTAAACGGTGTGTGGGATGGCGAAAGAAACGTATTGGAAAGGATAAGAAGCTCTAAAAGTGGACGCCCCACGATTTGAACGATCGTCAGCAATTGTCAAGGTCTGTTCTTCTTTGCTTTTACGTAAGGGGTACAATTTTTTTAATCGGATCGTCACGTGTGATGAAAATTGGATCATCTACAGAAGACGTTCAGGACAGTGGTTGGACACCGATGAGCCACCCAGGCACTTCCCAATGGCAAAAAAACCATGGTTAATGTATGGTGGTCAACGGCTGATGTGATTCACTATAACTCCCTGCAACCGGGCCAAACAGAAGAGGTTCCATCTTGCTTCACAACAAACGCCCATCGCATCACGTTTCACAAATCCCCGTCTGAAAAATAAACAAATTATGCGTCGAAGTTCTGGCTCACTAACCATACTCCTCAGTCCTCTCGCTAATCGACTACCATATTTTCAAGCACTTCGATAACTTTCTCACCGCACTGGCGTGTTTACTGGTATGGAATGTGAAGAACATGTTTGAAAATAAAATGAATAAAAAGTAAGTTTATTGGCATGATATTTAATGAAATATAGTTTTTCAGTCATCGTTTTTAGGATTCATTTCGGTTTTGAAACATTTTTTTCTTTTTTTGTTTTTTTCAAAGGCTTTCTCGGCGAGACATTGCTTCCAGTACTCGAAGGTGTTGAATTTGTTTTCTTTTTCTTAGGTTTCCTTTTCCGGCTCTCGGTTGACGTCGATGCATCACTCACTAAAAAAGAAGAAGCTTCATCGTCATCCGTTCCAACATTCTTGTGGCGGTTGATTTCCATCTGTTTCACTTTATCAATAGCTTCTCTGATGGCCTCTAAGGTGGGTCGTCGTGGTTCAAACAACTGAAGAAAGGTAAAGACAACTATACTATTCTATTTTATTATCACTGTTATTACAGCAGCCTGTTACAAGGTGACAGGCTGCCTGTTCTCAAAAAACATCAAGTTTCAATTATTAGGTGTGAAATACGAAAGTGGTGCCTCCCCTATGCCCCCTCCCGGGTTGAGTGCCCAGAAGTAACTAATTTGCGAGGAAAACCTAATACTCCACTCCATCCCCCGAGCGGTCCTCAACTTACTGATGGGCACTTCAGCAAGATTGACATCTGACCTCTTTTGGTCGAAAGTCAGTGCAAAAATGGTGCTTGATATTCCTATCCATAGATATTGGAAATTCAAAATTAGATGGCAGCGCCATGGTGGGGAACGTGCAAAACACATATGTCTACACCGGATTTAATTTTTAATACATTCAATTGCTTGTTTATAATTTCTATGTTTGATCATATTCCTATTATACGAAAATTACATGTTTTGTTGGCAATACATTGATTGAGTTTTAGTTGAGTAAGATTGTCGTATTTCAGATTTGTGTAGTAAAGGCAAACGTGTTTGTTGAAGTTTTTTTAATCATATAAAATGACTGATGTAGTGAAGACACACTTCCTAATTTTCATCTTATTTATTTAGAACATACTCTTTCATTCCTAAACTCGTTTCCACGAAAAAGTTAACTTTTTTGCGGAAAATAATGGAAATTGATGTCACAACATCGAGATCTTTTTCCCAGAAATTACATTTCTGGACATATAGTATTGATAGTTTCAAGTTGATTCTAAATAGCTTTATTTTGAATCGGAAAAAAGGGATAATCGACCAAATCTTCACTAATTCACTAGAAGAATCGATATAATAGCGACCAAAAAACCTTATTAATGTCTACTAAGATGATTAATGTATTTGTCTCTAGTTCACAACATCAATACCAGGGAGAGTATCACTTATTTTGGATTTCATAAATTGACTTGGTGGTCGGGTTTTATATTTCATTATTGGCACCACTGAATTGCTGTCAATTTTCAACCTCATTTTTTTTTACATTAGATGACGCCACATAAAATGTTCGCAGTTTAATTCAAGGTGGTGTTTGAGTTTTATATTTTGAATAATACTTCTGATTAATGAAATGCTTCAAAAATGTCATATATATGATTTTTTGGGAGTTATCGACATCGACTGCATTGGTCATTAGCCTCGTGTCCTGGGTAGGCAATGTCAATAACTCCCCGAGCCACCTAGGGAGTATCTTGGCTATTCGCAGTCCGTCAGCCATGTAACTTTGCAAAATCATCCCAATTTCAACCAAATAAATTCTCTCGAAAATATATGAACTATTTCGATTTATGATATTGGCAGAGGTGATGAGAATCATGATTGCCAACAATGAAATATAAAACTTGACCACCACTTAATCCTTATCTAATACAGTCAATTATGTATAGTTCTGGTCAATAAGTCATGCAAAATAATGGAAGTGAAAAATTCAAAAATTAAAGTATGAATTGAAATTATTCAAATGGTGTCAATATTTGAATCTGATGAAAAAGATGAAGACTTTCATTATTGAAGATTGTTAACGCTTTTTCATATTGTTTTACAGAAGCTACAAGAAGGGTTTATGGTCAGTTTCGATTCATTTGTATTCGGTTGAATAATGCATGAAAAATAAATATAGTTTGAAAAACAACTAAAAAACGCGCTTTTGAAGAACATCGAACTAAAAAGTTAAAAATATTTTTTTAAATAAGCTTAAAACAATAATGAATGAAAAACACTGATATTATGTGAAAAAACGACGGGCGCTTGATATACAAAAAATAAGGCACAAAGCGCCCACGCTTTTTTCACAATAGAACTATTATTTTTCGTTCGTTATTGTTTTAAGCTTATTTGAAAAAAAATATTTTCAACTTTTCAGTTCGAACTATATTTATTTTTCATTTTTTAGTTTCGTATACTATGAAAGCGTGTTTTTTAGTCTTTTTAAACTATATTTATTTTATCTAAACTTTGGGATCAATCAGCCGTATATTGTTTAGAAAAATGACCATTAATATTTTCCGATTCCGGAGAGGGAGCCCGAGAATCAGCTACCAAGCCCAAGGAAGGCAGCAGGCGCGCGTGGTAATAAAAAAATACCCTTTTCAAATGAAGAAGTACATGCGAATAGGTCAAACAATTATGTCAAATACAGATCCCGATATGAAATGAAGAGGAGACTCACAAACAAACAAACATACATACATATAGGTACATACATACATACAGTTGAAGCTAATTAAAGCGTGTAATAAAATAATAATTAATTAATGAATAAAAAAAATTATGAAGCTTACCGGCTCTTTAGGTTCAGTTGAAGATTTCCGTAATTGTTTGTGAAGACTTTTCAACTCCTGCAACTCTTGGCTACCAGAAATTATTGAATTTCTGTCGTATTTTTCTTCAATGATCTAAAATAATCACTCTATAACGAAAAACTAAAGAAACCACAAATTTGTTTAATATTTTCTGAAATATGCTGAGACACTCAACACACAGTTGTGGAAAGTGCTGAAAATAATCAAGTGGGCATCAAAATTTTACATCTGTATATTTAATATATTTGAACGAATGAAATCCAAACTGTGAACCAGTCAGTACAATTTCTTTGGCAGAGATAAACTATAATCAAGCTATTTTGTTTCTTTTTTCGAACATGTTACTTGTGAATGTATAAAAATTATTAGCTGAGGTGTTGTTGGAATTATTTATATAAAAAGTTTTCAAATCGGAAGAACATGTACGTGTATATTTTTATGTGAATGAATAATCCTGAAAAGATTGTTACAATAAACATTCACATCGATTGTTTTCATATTTACCGTTTTATACTCATCATTTTCTCTCGACCCTTCTTTTATGGATGTTATTATAGTGGTGGTGGAATTCGGATCTTCATCTTCTAATTTATCATCTGGCATAGTTTCTTTTGCTTTCAGTAACTGAAAATAATTGAATGAATGAACTGAGACGATTCGAAGTATGGGTGAGTTTTCTCATGTTCTTTAGTTATAAAATTGAGAACAAGAATTCCCCATATCTTCCTTGTACATTATTCAAGAAGAATGAGTGAAATTCAGTATATCAAAAAGAAGATGAATTTATCAAAATAAAGCGTTGATTCGAATACTAATTTCACTAAAATTGAAAGAAGTATATTTTTAGGAGAAATCAAGTTTTGGGAAAGAAAGGTTTTGGTTTTCTACTGTAGAAGATACAGGTGTGCTTCCATTCGATGTTAGTTTTTGATATCGTTAATTTCAAAATAATATATAAAGGCCCTAGTAGTCGATATAACCAAATAATTATAATACACAACCTGCAAAAATTAGAAATTCAATCAAAAATTATTACCCTTCAATCAACCGATGACAGAAATTCCGGTTAAAATCGATTATTAGGTACACATCCGTTGAGAATGGAACTTTTTGGACAACCCTCGTAAGTAACTGTTTTACTGACTGTTTTTATTCCCCCGCGTTGTCACTATTCGAAACGAAGTATATACGACACACACAAACCGATTAAATTTTAAGTTATTTTTGAATAGTTTCCAAATCTGATTGTAACGAACATTATTACAAGTTTTGTATTTTCGTAAGCTCCTTGTATCATGTTTGGATGAATATTGTGTATATATTTTATATTGCGTTACTTACACCAGCCTTTATTGTTGAGTTTTGAATAGCAGTTCCGCTTAAAATTTTCATATTTGTTGATGGTTCTGATTTTGTTATAGAAAAATTCTTCAGTGTCTGCAATTAATAGAAAAATTTTCACAGTTGCAAGTGAGTAAAACTAGAACTTATTTACTTCTGAATCCAAAATATGGTCCTTGTTATTTTGATGCGTGAAAAGTCTTGTTGTTATCGTTTCATAAATTTTATCTCGATCTTTGGTGGGAATGAATGGCATTTTGTGAAATTTTGACTGATGATTGATCGTTGAAAATTCCCAAAGTTACAGGGTAATCCAAATTAGATGCTGAGTTGTCTTTCATTAATAATAATATTAATACCTAAACGTATTTTGATATTGACCCTTTGGAAATTGTCACTACTGATGAAAATTTTTTCGATTCCGTTTCAATTTTGAACACGGAAACATTTGCTGGAAAGCAACATTTTGAATATTATGACGCAAGCATTTTGATCGATTGAGCTTGGTGTATAAGAAATGTATATGAATGAAAAGTGAATGAAAGTAAATATATAAAAAATAAGTAATATCCATAAATATTCAATTAGAAATTGAATTTTAGGTCAGGAATTATTGCTTGTGACGCCACAAGTTAAGACCCTATGCAGTGAACAATTGCCGAGTTGCCGCCTTGGAACTAGGCCATCCTTTCTAGTCACCATTTAAATTAGTGTTCCATGATTGCGACTGAGACTCACAAGTCTGAGATATATGACAGTTGGCGCATGTCTTCTATTACGTCAAGACGTCGACTAATCAGATATTAGAGAGGGGGTGAAAAAGTTATAGCGAGTATCACAAACCGATTACATTGTGTATTTTGGTGGTGAGAAATTTCTTTTAATAAATAAATCGAAGATATTTGTTTAATTCAATAAGTGAAGTGTTCAACTAGTGCGTGGTGATGGCATCGGACGAAGAAGTGGATGAATCATTCGCCGGTAAGTTTGTTTTGTGTAGCTTTGCATAGGTGCAAACGTAAGCCGACTTTTAAAGCACGATTATTTTTTTAAAAGCTAATTCATCGCATCTTTCTGTGTAAAACTGCAGTTCACGTTCTTCTCTGAACGAACCGACTTCAAAGCGTTCGAAATTTTGTGGCTAGAATAGAGAAAAAAGGGTAATTACAACTTCATAATCAGATATAATACTTCCGCGGGGGAAGGGGGAGGTTGATTTTCATTATTTTTGTGACAGCGCGCGGGCATATCCTGACCCTTAACAAAATGGAGGACATCAAACAAAGAGATTGGCAGATTCCAAATTATGTAATTTCAATAAATAATTTGTATTGCTTTTGGGGGTTAGAAATTTCATATTTTCCCTCCTAAATTCTGTTATGATTGCACTGACCATCGTCCACATGGTTGAAAGTAGTATTAATTAGTTTTCATTCTTTAGGGGAAGAAGATGCCCCAGAGGATGCTGCAGAACAACTTGATAATGAGCCGGATTCTGAAGATGCTGTTCCCAAAGGAGGGGTAATGATATAATTAAAATAACACCACTAATTGTTTTTTCTGATTATCTTTACTTATAGATTATCCTATAGTTTTTTTATACAAATTCTGTGGATAGATATATACACTACACATAGGTACATTACATACATAAAAATAAATATGTATATATAAATGAATGTTTCCAAGAGTAAAATTAAATGTATAAAAAAACATGTCAATAGGATAAAAATACTAATAGATATTATGTTACTAAGAGTGCCTTGTTAAAAAGCAAATAGCTAAGAATTTTAAAAATGAAATTATTAAGATCCTGGTTCTGTAAGTATTAGAAAGGACCCTTAAAAAAGGTATGACTTTTTTTTCTTTCACGACAAAGCTAAGTACAATTATTGAAAGGTAACAACAAATTTTCATTATCAGACTTTTTTTTATGATACTGCCAACAAATAATCAAAACTATAATGTTATTTTGAGTCATTACCTGCAGTGAATTTCTGGAATAGTCAAGTTATACATTGAGGGTTAAAGAACATTTTTCAAAAACTGTTCTAATGAATATTTACCTATAATTGATTCACCTGTTATAAATTTGCACTTCTTTAAAATCAATGAATCTGGATACGATAAACACTTGGGAATAAAAATTGGCAGACATTTGAAGTATAATGTTGCTTTTGCTTTCAAACATGACAGAATTGTGTGTATTTGTAAATATAGGTGTATATATATATATATATATGTCTATGTGGGTATGTATAAATGTGTTTATGTGAATATGTATAAATGTGTTTATGTGAGTATGTTTATACGTGGATGTGTATATATGTGGGTATGTATAGATGTGGATATGTATATATGTGGATATGTATATGTGCGTCCCTATATATGTGTGAGTTATTCAAGAAAATTTTTCAACTGATATTTCATGCTTTGCTCTGAATGTATGAATTAGTACGAATATTAATTAAAAATATCTTTACATGGTTTTCTTGAATATAAATTGAGATAACTAACAGTGGAAATGTGCCTTGGTTATTATTGAAATCATTGTTTCAGGAAGAGGATGATGACTATGAACCTGAAGACGGTCGTAAAAAAAAGAAGGGAAAGAAAAGAAAAGCGAGGGGAGAAGAAAAAAAGGGAAAAAAGAAAAAGAAAAAACGTAAAAATGACAGTGGAGATGTAGGTGTTACTTGTTTTTCAGATTCAGAATAAAGATTATTATTATTATTTTTGATAGGAAAGCGATTTTGGGGATGAAGACGCAGGTGGAGATTCTGATTTTGGGAACACCAGCAAAAGGGGGAGGAAAAAAGGTTCTACCAAACATTCTTCAACGCCATCGACCCCGGCTCCATCTGTGGAGGCAACTAGTGGAGGAGGAGGTATGAAGATCATTTGATAATTTTTATTCCGATAAAAACATATTGAAAAATATGTACCACTAGTACAACTAAATGTGAAATTTTTAAATATGTCACTTCGAATCAGGCTTCGTATTCGTCCTTCCTTTTCTAGAATTTAAATCTAATAAAAAAATCTGATTGTTTGGTTTTGTTTGAGTTGAATGTTGATTCTTGTTATTGTAATTTATGAATGCTTACAATTGTTTTGTTTTTCAGAGGTTTGATAATGGATTTACCTATTGTTTCCCATTAATTGAGTTCAATAAGTAAAGTGACTTTGACTTTGATAAAAAATAATAACAATTATTTAAAATAAAAAAAAAACAGAATAGAAAGTTGATAATTTTAGTATTAGTTTCACCATGAAATAGTTTTTACAAGTTGGTGCCTTTATGGAATTGAAATTCACTTTGAAATTTTTCATTGTAGGTATGCCAACTATTGAAGAAGTTTGTTCAACCTTTGGCCTTACAGATGTTGACCTCGATTACTCTGAGTCTGATTTTCAAAACTTGACGAGCTACAAACTTTTTCAGCAACATGTCAGACCGCTATTAGCTAAGGAAAACCCAAAGGTAATATATTGAGATTATTTGCTCTGTTTTGTTACTGAATATAAATTTTTAAGGTACCAATGACTAAGCTCATGATGCTTGTTGCTGCTAAGTGGCGTGAATTTTCCAATATTAACCCTAATCTACAATCGGAAGGAAACGAGCCTTCTGCTCCTCCATCAACCACTTCGGAAGAGAGTTATCCCAAGTCAAATCGATCTCGGGTTTCAAAAGAAGCTGCCTCGAAAGTGATTGAAGTAAGAATTATCAATTGTTACAAATAATGATTCTTATAGATTCCTATTTTTAAAATTTATGAGATTACTTCCAATTCAAAGTATCAGCTTTGTAGTAATGTATATATTTTTAGGCAGACTCTGAGCCTTATGATGAGGACGAAGAAGAGGAGGAGGAAGATGAAGATAGGGCGAAAAAAAAGAAAAGAGGACGAAAGCCCAAAAAAGCTTCCAAAGTGCCTACTTTGAAAATTAAATTGGGGAAAAGAAAGCGTGGCAGTTCGGTAAGACAATACTTTATTCTGCCAATTTTTTTGTCTTTACATAGGTGAATCTTGTATTGTAGAAAAAACACACCTTTGTTTCAAAGGTCATTTCAAGTCTCTCATTTTCATCCACAACTAAATTTCAATGTATCAAATTGATTATCTGAATCGTCCTTTAAAGCATAATCATTATAACTCTAGGACGAAGAAGGAGATGTCAGTATTGGAGGTTCAGACAAAGACTCTGATGCCGAATTCGAGCAGATGCTTCAAGAATCGGAAGATCCAAAAACTAGCAAATCTCCAGTGGAAACTGCTCCAGATCAACCTTCTGAGGGTGGCTCTGAAGAAGCCATTCCTAGGCGTAAAGCTAAAACAAAGATCGGTAACAAGAGCAAAGTTAGAAAGAGGAAAGTGAAAACCGGTAAAGGAGAGGAAGAAAACTACGAACACCAAGATTACTGTGAAGTCTGTCAGCAAGGTGGTGAAATCATCCTCTGTGATACGTGTCCTAGAGCTTACCATCTGGTGTGTCTCGAACCCGAACTTGAAGAAACCCCAGAAGGAAAGTGGAGTTGTCCACACTGTGAGAATGAAGGACCAGCTGAACAGGTTAGATAGTAAAAGAAATTTGTTGATATACTTCTGAATTGATTTCACTTGCACAATTTTCTCTAAACGTATCTCTCAACAGGACGATGATGAGCATCAAGAGTTTTGCAGAGTTTGTAAGGATGGTGGTGAACTGTTGTGCTGTGATTCTTGCACCTCTGCCTATCATACTCATTGTCTGAATCCACCTCTCACCGACATTCCAGATGGCGACTGGAAATGTCCCAGGTGTGGATGCCCGCCTCTTGTGGGAAAGGTGTCCAAAATCCTGACTTGGAAGTGGGTGGACGATCCACCAAAGAAGAAAGATGGTGAAGAACAACCGAAGACCAGACATCGAGAGTTTTTTGTCAAATGGCATGAGGTAGGTCCCATTTCGTGCAAAATGCAATTTACTACAATGGTACATACAAATTGAAATATATAAATATTATTCCAAGGCATTTCAAAGGCATTTCTTCACTTCACTGTTATGATCTATAGATTATTGAGAAATTTTACTTTGACTTGATAGAACTCAACTACACAAATTATATTTCTAAATTGATCCATAATAATAATCTCATTTTTAATCTTTGAAAAACATTTTTTGTGGAGGAGTCACATGTTTTTTTACTGTTTTCTGAAAAATGCTAAATCAATAGAGAATCTGTGCGTCGAGGAAAATATTGCTGTTTTCAATGGGGGCGCTGCTTTTGAGTGAATTTTTGGTTTTGAAAGTGGAAAAGGATTGTTTTCCATAGTGTCGATCATCTAAAGGAAGCTATGATTGAATTTTTTTTCAATTGATTATTCAATTTGGAGGCAAATCTCCATGAATATAGGTTACTGAGTAATTGAACTTCCAATGGGTTTATATTACGCAGTAATTTTTCTGGGTGAACTTTTTAGTTCTGCTCCAGCAGATCTCTTTTGGTTCAGCTTTGTCTATTTTTGAGATTGTGGAAGGCTATAAACCAAAAATCAGTAAAAAATGTATTTCTCATTGAAAATCATAAAATTATTTGAAACTATTTTATGCAATAACAAAGAGTAGAACAATGATAGTATAACTAGACATAACATTTAACAATTACAGGTAAAAACTTTCTGTTCCTTCACATTATAATAATTTTTCCTACTTCTGAATTGGAATATAGAAAGATTAGGTTCATTTCCTATTGAAATATTCAATTTGTTGAATATTTTATCCCAGATAACTGACTCTTTTGGTAAATGGTAGTTCGTTGCATTCCAGAAACGAATAAATCCCTAGTTCTACTGGGTTATATGTGTTCCTATTGACATGATATACAATGCTTTGTCACTTCTGAATAATTTTTTTGTTAGTTAGTTTTAGCATTCATCACCTATATTTTTCAGTTATCGTACTGGCATTGTAGCTGGATTACAGAGCTTCAGTTAGACGTTTACCACCCCCTTATGTTCCGTGCCTACACGAGAAAATGGGATATGGAGGAACCCCCCAAATTGGAAGAACCTATGGATGAAGCCGACACTAGATTTAACAGGTAAGTGTTTTGTCATTGAAATAAAGTAAAATTCTAAACTATGTTTTGAAATTGTCTTATTTTTAGACTATTGAAGATGGGTGGTAGTAATAATGACGAAGAACTTGAAGAAAAGTATTACAAATATGGCGTGAAACCCGAATGGCTTGTGGTGCATCGAGTCATCAATCACCGTACCATGCGAGATGGTAGAAACCTGTATCTGATCAAGTGGCGAGAGCTGACTTATGACCAAGCCACCTGGGAGGATGAAAGCGACGACATACCTGGACTGAAGCCGGCTGTCGAATACTATTTGGATTTGAGGGCTGCTTGCATTGGTGGCGGATCGGGAGCCAGATCAAAAAAGAACAAGGGAAAGAAGCCCAAGATGAAGGAACTGATGGACGACGACGACCGGGGGACTCCGTAAGTTTCTTTGATTTTTTTTTCTATAGGTTTCTTATGATCAGAAGACTAACAATTGTAAATGTAAACAACAAATAAAAATATGTGAAACTACAAAACTGTCAATCATTTTCAAGATATATTCTTTAAGTTGTGTTTTGAATTTAGTATACTTCGATTTTTTCATATTGTTAGATATTTTTAATAAAAATTCATGAAGCAACTTACAAATTTTAAATTACTGAAGGTAAATATTTTTATTTCAGTCGTAGATATACTCCACCTCCAGACAAACCTTGTACTGATTTGAAGAAAAAAATGGATAGACAACCCTCTTACTTGGACGAAAGCGGTCAATTGCATGAATATCAGTTGGAAGGTCTAAACTGGTTGCGCTACTCTTGGGCTAATGGTATAGATACCATCCTTGCTGATGAGATGGGTCTAGGAAAAACCATCCAAACTATAGTTTTTCTGTATTCCCTCTTCAAGGAGGGACATTGCAGGGGCCCGTTTTTGATCAGTGTACCGTTGTCGACTATCATCAATTGGGAAAGGGAATTTGAGACTTGGGCGCCAGATTTTTACTGCATCACCTATGTTGGTAAGTGAGAAAAGCAATTCGTTTTTGGCCTCTCAGAAAGGATTGCTCATGAAAACCAAGGTTTTGAAATTTCACCAAATATACATATAAATTTTATTTGACATGAAATTGTAGATTTTCGCGAACAAAGGAGTAATAGGTTGATTATCAGTGATATTAAAAAATATAAAGTTATTTTTTAATCCCTTGAACATCCGTATTCAAGTATAAACATAAACGTATTCTCGAAATCATCAGAATGGATGTTGAGAAGTCTGATGAACCAAACCAAACGCAGTAACTACTTAGTTACTGCTTTCTGAACGCAATAACTACCTATTGCGTTCATACGTGAATAACAACTCGGGCTCTGGGACTGGTACCACATGGCCATTGATAATCTTTACCACAGTAGTAAACGAAACGTCAGGCATAAAAACCACAGCCAAAATATCCGGAAAATAGCTTTCCCAAAATCTCATAAACTAATAATTTGGAAATAATGGTTCCATGAATATTTTAGTCAATTCATGGAGGTCATTATGTCGACTACTATTCAGACATAAGCATTCACAAACTTTTAATCTAGTGGAATTTTTGTGTGGCCATAGAAATTGTATAAACACAGAATTTTTTCAAGAAACACTTGGCCTGTATAGCAAAACAAGTGCTACAGTTTTTCTAAAACTATTTAGTATCGGCCGATTCCATCACATAACAGAAACTTGAATCTACTCCATGGTGTCAAACTAAATGGGATGATATTTTAGGTGACAAAGACTGCAGAGCTGTGATTAGAGAAAACGAACTTAGTTTTGAGGAGGGTGCAGTGAGAGGAGGTAGAGCGTCTAAAATTAGAGCTGGTTCTATAAAATTCAATGTTTTGCTAACCAGTTATGAGTTGGTCTCTATTGATTCCGCTTGTTTGGGATCCATCGATTGGGCCGTTCTTGTTGTAGATGAGGCACACAGATTGAAGAGTAATCAGTCCAAAGTGAGTATCACTATCAATTACCAAATCGAGCAAGACTAGATTCGCATTTTATTTTCCAGTTCTTCAAATTCCTGAACAGCTACAACATTGCGTATAAGCTTCTTCTTACTGGTACACCATTGCAAAATAACCTCGAGGAACTCTTCCATTTGTTGAATTTCTTGAACAGTCAGAAGTTCAACGATCTATCCGCTTTCCAAGGTGAATTCGCTGATATTTCAAAGGAAGACCAAGTGAAGAAGTTGCACGAGATGTTGGGCCCCCACATGTTGCGGCGTCTCAAGGCTGACGTACTCAAAAACATGCCCTCGAAGTCTGAATTCATCGTAAGAGTGGAGTTGTCTCCGATGCAGAAAAAGTATTACAAGTATATCCTGACTAGGAACTTCGAGGCTTTGAATCCGAAAGGAGGAGGCCAACAAGTTTCCTTGCTGAACATTATGATGGATCTGAAGAAGTGCTGCAACCATCCTTATCTGTTCCCTGCCGCTGCAGAAGAGGCGCCTTTGGGACCGCATGGCAATTGGGACGTGGGGCAGTTGACGAAGGCGGCTGGGAAGCTAGTTTTGCTGTCGAAGATGCTCAGGATATTGAAGGAACAAGGGCACAGGGTGCTTATCTTCTCGCAGATGACCAAAATGTTGGACATTCTTGAAGATTTCCTCGAAGGAGAAGGGTATGTGAGTTTGTAATTGTGTTGGGAATTTTTTGTGATAGTCGTCCTATAAATTTGATATTTGGACAAATAGTTAATGGATCAATCAATGAAGGAACGAGGAGTAATCATTCATGTTAATTCAATCGCTCTTTCAGGTACAAATATGAACGAATAGATGGTGCTATTACTGGCAGCCAACGTCAAGAAGCTATAGATAGATTTAACGCACCCGGTGCTCCTCAATTTGTGTTTCTCTTATCTACCAGAGCTGGTGGGTTGGGTATTAATCTCGCAACAGCTGATACGGTTATAATCTATGATTCCGATTGGAATCCACACAATGACATCCAGGCTTTTTCCCGTGCCCATCGTATTGGACAAGCTAATAAAGTGATGATCTATCGATTTGTCACAAGAAACAGCGTTGAAGAACGAGTCACTCAAGTAGCCAAAAGAAAAATGATGTTGACTCATTTAGTGGTGAGACCCGGCATGGGTGGGAAAGGAGCCAATTTCACCAAGCAAGAGTTGGACGATATTCTGAGGTTCGGAACTGAAGAGTTGTTCAAGGAAAACCAAGGTAAGTGTCAAAGAATTTTGTCAGAATTGTAATTCTCTTCTTTTTTTTAAAATTTTGAATGCATGAATTTTAAATCTCTTTTCAATTGAAATCAGGCAAAGAGGATGAAGCCATTCATTACGATGACAGAGCTGTTTCCGAACTTCTTGATCGTAGCAAAGAAGGTATCGAACAGAAAGAAAGCTGGGCCAATGAATACCTCAGCTCATTCAAGGTAGCCAGTTACGTTACCAAAGAAGAAGAAGCTGAAGAGGAAGTTAACACCGAAATCATCAAGCAAGAAGCCGAGAATACCGATCCTGCCTACTGGATCAAGTTGCTGAGACATCACTACGAACAGCAGCAAGAGGATATCGCGAGGACGTTGGGTAAGGGTAAGCGAGTCAGAAAGCAGGTCAATTATAATGACGGTGGAATGACGACTGACACTAGGGAGGATACCACTTGGCAGGAGAATCTCTCTGACTACCATTCAGACTTTTCGGCTGGTTCCGATGAAGATAAAGAAGATGATGACTTTGATGAGAAGAATGATCCTGATCTCAGTAGGTAAGTGTAGTGAAGTATCTCGTGGTTTCTTCAATTAGCTTTGCTCCATACAACATTTCAAAACAATTTTATTTCACTATATTCAGGAATATCACAATACTTTTACAAATTATTTTGCAGTATTTTGTCAATGTTATTCACTCTTGTTCATCATTAATTTCCATATGACACAGTAATTTCATGTGTCAACTCTCTTCTATCATTTTCTAATCATGGTCTTAATGTTGGTTCCCTTACATCAGAAAGGTTACTCTATCTTGAGATGTCCTTTTGTTGAGGCACATTAGGAGAAGTAATGGTTGATGTTGCAGCAGGAATTCATGTTGTGAAATTGAATTACTGAGCTTTATTAAAAAATGGTTAAATCTTGTTATACTTCTATACTTCCGCACATTTGCATGGTAATTGGTGAATGTTATGGATCCAAAAACTATTTCCATGATTGTAAATTGGAATTACTCTTTCCTGTGATTCCAACCATTTTGTTCTATCATATTGAGGATTTTCTTATCTTTATCAAATTATTGCTTTGGTTTATGAAGCAAATGCTCCATAAACCAAAATTTGCTAGAGCCAATTGGAAATTTGAAAGTATATCGTTGCAATTTATTCACTAATGTGAGTTTGTAAATTGTAAAAATGGCATTGAAATTATTTTTATAATCTGTTTACTGATACATTGAGTTTCAAAAAGAGCATCTGATTTAAACTTCATGGAATATTTTTTATGAAGTGCAGAGCTTTTTTACTGAATGTTATTCAGCTCATTTATAATTTTTCACCAGGAGGAGTAGAAGGAAGATGGAAAGGAAGGAAGAGAAAGACCGACCATTACCACCTCTATTGGCTAGAGTTGGAGGAAACATTGAAGTCCTTGGCTTTAATGCCAGACAGCGTAAAGCATTCCTCAACGCCATTATGCGGTATGGCATGCCGCCACAGGACGCTTTCAACTCTCAGTGGCTTGTGAGAGATCTGAGGGGAAAGTCTGAGAAGATATTCAAGGCGTATGTTTCATTGTTTATGAGGCATTTGTGTGAACCTGGTGCGGACAATGCTGACACTTTCGCAGATGGAGTGCCACGTGAAGGACTTAGCAGGCAGCACGTTTTGACTAGGATTGGTGTCATGTCTTTAATAAGGAAAAAGGTACAGGAGTTTGAACACATCAATGGCGAATATAGCATACCAGAACTTATCAAAAAAGCCATTTTGGAGCAGAACAAAATCAGCTCAACTCCAACTACCGAGGGCGAAACTCCAAAAAGTGCTACGACTAGTACGAGTGCTACTCCGGCAACTAGTGCCGCTCCCAGTCCTGCTCCCACGCAGGTCGATGCTTCTGAGAAAGATAAGGATTCAGTACAAGGTGATGAAATCAAGGAAAAAGACATTAAGTCTGATAGTGAAAAATCTGCGGATGATAAAAAGGAACACGTGGAATCTGAAGATGTTAAGGACATTGCGACAAAAACTGAATCGGCTCTACACACAGATATTGAAATGAAACCTGAAGTGAAACCCGAACCTGATACTTCTTCCATAGGTGAGGAGAAAAAGGAAGAAAAGCAGGAAGAGATTAAGAAAGAGGATCTTGAAGAAGTCAAAAAGGAGGTGAAAGAAGAGGATGATAAAGAAATTAAGCAGGAAATTAATAAAAAGGAGAAGGATGAAGAGGTAGTCAAGGAAGAGAAACCAAAGATCGAAAAGGAGGAGGATGTAACAATTATTGAGGGAGATGACAAGGACGCTAAGGTAAGAATTATCAATGTCTACTTCTTTGATTTATTAATGATAATAACTCAATGTGAAACAATACATTTTTGTATTAACACGTATATACTTTTTTGTCTTGTTAACACAGGGTGTTATCAAGGCAGCAGACTTATCATGATTTTCTATACCGTAGAAGAGTGGTCTGCCTTTGTATTAGAAATGAAATTTAGTTCTTTCAGTTTTTTCCTTCACTACACTCGAGTCATTTGTTTTCATTTCATCTCTTTATAGATTATTTAGCCATTTTCTATTGTTTTTTATTTAAGTAAATAAGTGTATTCATCTTTTATGTTCAGTGACCTTTGAAAAAAAGTAGAGTTAGTCCATGACTGGACATCTCAGTTTCCTTTGTTGAATGTTGAACATTTAAGTTGAAATCCTGAAATTCAATTTTAAAATGTTGTGTTTTTTTTTAAGATTAAGACATTTCTTGTAAATTTGAACAATAGGTTTACAACTCCATGGTTGAGCAGCCTATTTAAATCACTACTGCCACAATCTGTAGCTTCTTCAGTTGACCTCTCTCATTAACTCATCTGAACAATCTGTAGTACTTTTCATTTATAATTTCGTTAAGTTCCTAGATTTAGTTACATAAGTACACTTGTACCTACTATGTTGGTAACTACAAGTGAAATAATTTACCTAGGACTGAAATTATTTGTTTTCCATTTGCAGAAAGAAAAGCGTGAAATAGATCTGGATGCAAAGAAACGATTTATGTTCAATATAGCTGATGGTGGATTCACAGAACTGCACACTTTATGGCTCAACGAAGAAAAAGCGGCATCTCCTGGTCGTGACTACGAAATATGGCACCGACGCCATGATTATTGGTTATTGGCTGGTATCGTGACACACGGTTATGGCAGGTGGCAGGATATTCAAGCAGATGCTAGGTTCGCCATTATCAACGAACCTTTCAAGATGGATGTCGGAAAAGGCAACTTTTTGGAAATCAAAAACAAGTTCCTGGCTAGGAGGTTCAAGGTAGATATTTCTCTCTTCAAAAATGCCACATACTTGACCCTTCTTCTCAGTCTTTTTTGGGAAATCAGATGAAAACTATAAGTTCCAAAATTATTAAAATGTTTTTATCAACCAATTTTTTTTTTACATTGTTTATAAGTCAACAGTGTGAAACAAACAAAATTTTCATGGCTTGGACGTATTTTTTACAATTTTTTTTTGTACTGTCCACCATCCACGTTCTTTTTTGTCTAAACTACAATGCTTTTATTATAATTTAACTTTCTAATACATTAACTTTCAAACATACAGTTCGCCTAAATGAGCCTTGAGATTGTGGTTCAAATCCTGGCAACATACCTTTTTAAGGATGACCTTATCAATTGGCAAGTGACCATGTTGGCCAGCTAAAGTGTTGCCAAATATAGCTCAAGTTATGATCCTCCATTTTTTATCAATATTGATTATTTGTCATTCAGCCCTATTTTGTTTAGCTGTCCTCTAAATTGACAATGTCCAACTAGTAGCCTGTAATAATTCTGAGCTGATCTCTGCTCTGTTGAAGTAGTTTCTCAGTCCTTTTTTGCAGGCAGTCCTTTTATATATAAAGGTTTCTCCATATGTTTTCCTAGGTATATTTTCTAAGTACACTTTATTTATTGATCCATTTCCTGATCTGAACCCATACCATATATTTTGATACCAGCATATGGAACTGATGTTTTAGATTGTATCTAACTCGCCAAAGGGCAGGGTTGATACAATTTGACTGAAAACTATATTGAAGAATATAATTTTTGAAAATAGGGTTGACTTGTATTTGAATATTTTTATAGGTTCTATGTTCTAAATTTCACATTTCAAATATGTATTTTTTTCAGCTGCTAGAACAAGCTCTTGTAATTGAAGAACAACTTCGACGTGCGGCCTACCTCAATCTCACGCAGGATCCAAACCACCCGGCGATGTCCTTGAATGCTAGATTCGCTGAGGTAGAGTGTCTAGCCGAATCTCACCAACACCTCAGCAAGGAATCCTTGGCAGGAAATAAACCAGCCAATGCTGTCTTGCACAAGGTGCTCAATCAGTTGGAGGAATTGCTCTCCGATATGAAATCAGACGTGTCTAGGTTGCCTGCCACGCTGGCCAGGATACCACCTGTTGCGCAGCGGTTGCAGATGTCTGAGAGGAGTATATTGTCGCGGTTGGCAGCAACGTCATCGTCGAGTAGTCAATCAACAGGTGAGTTTTTGGACAAAGGTATATAGGATGTCTCATCTGTGTCATCGTCCAAATTGAAGGCGATAAAAAAGGCATTACTGATGATAAAGTTCATGTAATGGGGTCTAATTCCTCACTGTTTTTGAGAAAACTGTTTGTGATTTTCACTAAAAGCCTCGTTTTTATAACAACCCAATGACATTTTCAATAATTTTTTTAGAAATGAATTGCACTATGTTGGTAAAAATTTCAGTTTTCTGAATATCTGAGAAGTTTCTTTTACATTTATTTTTCTTCATAAAGTTGCAATGGTTTGAATTCGTGTAACTCAAGCCAATCTAGTTTGGTGAAAAATACTACGTTTAATGCTGCTCAGAACAAATTCTTATTTGTTTCAATTCCGAGTAACTTGATTGGACCATGACTCATGAGGTACCCTGTATATAAGAAGTATCAACTGTCACAGCTGTTGACAGCCTAAAAATCAGCTCCCTTCAAGGTCACATAAGGGATATTATCTATCTCAAGGATGTTTTCATTGCTTTACCTTAATGTATGATTGCTTACCAGTGGTAAAAAAAATTGACGTCTAGTAAGGACTGAGAATATAATTGACTACCCCTAAAATGAAATGTTTCGAATGTGCTACCTCTCAGAACCAAAGTGTTATATTAATAGAATTACTGTTATACAGAAAATTGATTATTTTCCTCTGGCTTTCTTGGGAAATAAATTCGTTGTAATTATTATATACCAATAACACACTTCATTTATTCTTAAACTAGATCTTATTTTGATATTAATGACCGCTCTACAAAAGCTTATAACATCCTTTGTAACAATCGAGAGTCATGACATTCACTCTCTGGTAAGTATTTATACGGATCACACATCTACCTTTATAAAACCCCTTCCTGACTACCATACATTTAACTATCTGTGACTTTGACATATTATGCACTGTCTGAAAGTTGATTTTTTTTTCCTGTAAAGTGAAAAACTATGAGAAAATGTCTTTTGTGATTACAGAAAATCTTTCTTTCTGGAACCATATTATTTTGAGTTTACATTAGTGACTGAATATATTCAGGAGAAAAATGAAACCAAAACCTTCTAAATCGATTAAAACTTATTTTTTAATGTCCTGAAACATGTTTGAATATGTTTGGGAGTTTTTTTGCATAGGTTCTACTAAATGTGAAAATATTTGATCAAACCTATATCTCTTCCCATCTTATTTCATACACCACTTGTCTTTTTCTTATGAATTCGAGTAGTAGCAAGGTTTTACTTTCATCCCAGGTGCCCCATTACTAAACAACTATTTTAAAAGAAAGTTAAGTTTCACACTTTGGGGAATTTTCATGTCACTAAATTATTACACTGCTTAAAGTAGGTGTTTACACTACTCAGTGAAACCGATTATATAATGCTAAAACTAATTACTAAACCGGTTTATTTAATGTTCGATGAAAATGGTTGACAGACATTAATATTGATTTTAGTATCATCGGTTCTTATAAATTCTTTTTAACATGCCTTATAGACGTGGTCAATAACTATTTATAAAACAATATTTGTTTCAAATATTTATACAAACCTGAAAAGTAGTTTTACTATTATATTCATGGATTTTTTTGCTTTATTAGATATCAATGCAGAATTTATAATAAATTAAACAAAGTATTCATAAAACAAAACAGTTAGCTGAAATCAATGAAATGAAATGTGAACAAAAGATATTTCGCCCTAATGTGCCACAGGAAACGGTTTTGAGACTACTATAAATTTCCATTAATCTTAATAATTATTTTATGTTCAATTTCAGCTCAAGTCATAAGTCAGTTCCCTGCAGGCTTCAGCGCCGGCAATCTTCCAGGCTTTGCAACTGCCGCAGCTAATTTTGCCAACTTTAGGCCACAATATTCAGTACCCGGTCAACCACCTACCGGATTCCCCTCATAATAGTAGAAGTGGAAGCCTCCCATAAAATGAAATAGCTCAAGGCCGACAGATAATTTATTCTTATATTTTACAGAATAAGATATTTATTTGCAGATCAATATTGTGAAATTTTTTGTAATTTTCTTTTTGTTCATAAATGCCTTTGTCACATTTTGAGTGTTACATAAACATTTATGATCATCTGTAACAAAAGTGGCCAAAATCTGATTTGATGGAACATAGTGAAATCTTTAGCTTTTAAAATTTTTTGTATTTATCACAGGTTTAGAATAATTTAGTGTTTATCCATTGAATTAAATTCACTCTTGGTTACTTTGTACCCTACTTTATAGAGTTTGGAAAGTAATTTATTAAATGATTGACATGTGATTTGTTTTTATCGTGTTAAATTGAGGTAATTGAATATAATATCTTTCTAATTATAGCAATAGGTGATTAGAAATTTGTTACATCAACTCTAGTTGTTCAAATACGGTGGTTCATTTTTGAACTGATATGTTTGTTCACGGTGAGCATTCTTCCAATAAAAGAAATAGGAAATTCAGTTTTTGTTTAATTTTCTCACTAATCAGTGCTGTTGTATATTATATGGACCAACAAAATTATGAAGGCTGCTAAAAAAATGATCATAAAATGCTCCACAGAAAAAAAAAGTTTCCACATTTACATGCCATTTTTCAAAGTAAAGTATTTTCACTAGTATTTTTTCCACACACCATAACCATAATACTCTTCTCAGCGCGCCTTCAGAAAAAGAGAAATTTCTAGTGTTGGAATTATATGCGACAGAGATTTATGCAAGATACCTCACAGAGGTTAGTCTGTTGGATATAATTCAGTATCCAATGTGGTATTAGTCGAGGAAGTAGTTGTTTTCTGCCAGGCATTCACCAGAACATACAGTGTAGGTGGTTGGGAGAGATGAATATTTCAAGATTTTATTTCGAAATATTTATTTTCTTATACGTATACATATATCTCTCCTCGATACAATCTTCAGACATGTTTCAGGGAATGAAAGGTTCCAGTTCTAGTCCAATGAAGTAAGGATACAAATTACCATCTGAAAGGCAAGCCTGTATTTTTCAATGTAAGGTGATTTCCTTTGATGAACTTGGACTCTTGCCACATATTTTCAGATGTGACAGAGAAGAAACTGGCAACAAACTTGGTGTATTGATTGTCATAACATCCAATTTCAAAGTTTATTCTGTTCAGAGTAATGTCCGAGAATACCTAACACAGAGGCGACATTAACGTCGGATCCTTTGATGTTCGGTGTCCCAACTCCAAACCGAAGATTTTGAGTGATAAACAACCTGGTTCACTGAGAAAAATGATTTCTCAGCGATAAACACTAATAAAAATACATACTCTTTCGTTCTAGTATAGTAGGCTCACTGTGAAATATAAAATTATAGTGTGAAGGGAATCCATTCAATTTTTATATTGCTAATTGAACAACTTTCGCAGTAATAATAGAGAATATTCAACTATGTTGCCAATTTAGTATTATTTATGATGAATTGGCTTTTAAGAAATAAATTTTATAGAGCTGTGTGATGTTTGGGAAGCCTGATAGAGTTTCCTTGTCTTGTGGGATAGCTATGAAAATTGGAATTTTTTTCAAACATTTCCTGATGGTCTCTGTGGTATAGAATGCATTTATAGATGTATATGCTAGGCAGAGTCAGGATTGAGTTCTGATTGAAGCATGTTCTGCATGAGTCTCTTGGACCTAAACCAAATGTCAGCCTAATAATTCTCTTATATTATAAGATATATGAGAATAAATTATGGCATAATATACGTTTAGGAGTTGCATGTTATCCAGTGCAGTTTTAAGCTGTAGAATTGCATAATACCCACTAATTTTTTTTGATATAGAGTTAATATTGTTTTCCCAGCTCATAGAATAGAAGTGACTTATATTTTATGTAATCTCAACTTGAACTTTCATTAACAACATCAATACAATCTGAGCGTTCTAATTAAGTAAGGTTCCGAATGAAAAAATAATGAAAAAAGATATTTTCCCAAAACCTCTTAATTTAAGAATGTGACAGAATCTTAAGTTTCCTTTTTACAGTTTTACCTTTGGTATTATTGATATCTCTAGTAGTATATTTGATACTATAAACAATTTTCATTCTTATGAATAGCTTAATTGCGTACATTTTTGGAAAATTTTCACAAGGTTGAAGAAAATCTACATCCTTCATTAGGTTGAATAATATATTTGAAACTGCTTTCCCAGTAGAAATTGCTGTAAATCGATTGTTAAATAAACATTCCAACTAATATATAAAATTAATGAATTCGTCTGGTGGTGAGGGCAAATTTCCAAACATGTTTTTTTCCGTAGTATAAGCTTTAAAATAGCTTAACAGACGAATTACATCCAAAGTCCTGCACATCGTGCTGAAAGACTGACACACATAACGTGTATGAACTTGAAGAGATTTTTTTTAAATGTATCAACAAACGTAAATGAATGAATTCTGAGTACATACATCTTCATTTTTATAATCATAATCCGGAAGGGCAAGGGCTGGAGAAAAGTGATTCTCATCTGATATAAATATATCATTTACGTTTGTGGATTGTATACTGATTAATAAATCATTTAAATTATTCTTACAATTCATATGATTGGAATGAAAATAATTTTGGCAAAACAACTTCCGGAATGTCCTTTGAAATTGTATGGGGGTCGGATTAACATTAATTCCGCATAGTTGTCTTACAGCACCAAAAAATTGCCCTATGACTTGCTCATAAAAGGAGCGCACAAAAGACCAAGTTCTACTTTTGCCTTCAAAATGAAATGAATGTTTTAAAAACTTGTTTCTAGTGGCTTTCATCAAATGACTTGGATCAAAAATATAAACAAGTTTTTTTACCACCGAGCTCAAATTCAAATTCTTCTAAAGTGACCCCTAATAACTTTGACAATTCATAAAAGTTAGAGCCCATGTCACTTACAATGCCATCAATATGCAGACCTATATTGGATAATTTAGAAATGCACTTATCCAAAATATCACGTAAATTTTTTGCTGGTAGCTGTGATTCAATGAAAAGCAATCGGTTGTTTCCAGAGGGAGAATAAAGTCCTCTAGCCATAATAACACGAACATTTCTACATATGGAATTCCTCTTATTTGCCTCTCCAATATCTTCGAAACCAATAATTTCATCACATCCTGTATCAAAAAACAGATTGGATTTTAAAGCCATCTCATCTATAGATATCACACATCGCTTGACCTGTTCGAGCATTGTATTAATTTTAATATCAAGTGCCTTAAATATTGCTGAATTTTCTACTGTTTTTCTCAAGATTTATTCTTCAAAACTAATCTCCTGAAAACTCTTGCTTAAATAGCATAATTTTAATCCGAGTTAGGTAGGTACCTTTTGTAACTAACTACCTACCTCATTATGTTTGCTCAGTGCTCACAGACTAATGGAGACAACCAAGTCCGAGAATGACGTGAGACAACCAAGTCGACGCATGCGTCTACGAAAAAAGGACACAAAATGGCCGTCTTTGTCGCTTCTCTGTGGTTGGTATTCTCGGGTAATGTTGAATAAATTTCATTGCACAGAAAATATATGCACAAAATATATGTCCCCAGCAGTATCATCATTTTAGCTGGTGACTCCAATATCCCTGATGCTAAATGTGAGGGCGATAACTTGGGATCAAATACCATTTTCCATCAGAATTCCCCTGCTTGTTTTAATTGCTACCTGCTCAATGATAATCCTGATAATCGCAATATTTTCTTAGAACTGATTTTCTCTGAAAATTCAGATTTGCCATGGGCCCTCTACTTCGGTAGTTTCTTGTTTCGTCAATTCGTGTTTCGTTACCTAGGGAAATTTTACTTGTTATGACCCATTTTATTTTTGTTTCTTCAACTGCAAAATATACCTGCTTAAGGTGTTCTTGTTTCGTCACGTCATGTTTGCACCTGCGCACTAAATTTAAAGTTTAGTTTGTACCAAGCAACATTACGGTAAACATGGAGATGCAAGTTGTTGAATCAAAAAGAGGAAAGCCGGTGGTGCTCTACTTAGGTTATAAATTTCACCAAAGGAAGATTTATCAAAATAGTGACATCTTTTGGACTTGTGTAAATCGAAAATGTATTGGAAGTGTGACAACTGATAAAACAATTACAACAGTGTTGAAAAGTAAAGAACATTCCATATGTGCACCAGATGTTGCAAAAAATGAAGTTGAAACAGTATTGTTCAATGCCAAGAAAAGGTCCCATGAAGAAATTTTACCAGTAACCCAAATATATCAGCAAGAAGTTATGAATAAAGCTGTAGACAAGGGTCTTGACTTTGTAACCCAAATTCCCAGTTTTTCTTCAGTGAAGCAACAGTTGTATCATGCTAGACATACTTCTCTTGGCATTAATAGTTTGCCTAAGCACCGCAAAGATGTTGTCATTTCAGATAAATATAAACATTTCCTTTTATTTGACAATAAATCGGACGACAGAATACTTATATTTGCTGCTGAATGTGGACGTATACTAGAGCGTGGTAAAATCTTTTTTGGAGAGGGAACATTTAAGAGTTGTCCTTCCTTATTTGAACAATTATACACCATTCATATGGACTTTGGTAGTACAGAAGGAAAAACTTGCGTTTGGCCAGTTATTTATGCTTTGTTACCAAATAGAAAAGAAGTGACTTACACGGAGTTTTTTACCGCATTAAAAGAAAAAATACCTAAATTCAGTCCAGTGGAATTCCATGTCGATTTTGAGAAGGCTGCGATACATGGTATTCAGAAAGTTTTCCCAGATGTGAAAATTAATGTTTCGGAGCCTATTAATTCTAACAAAAAATCAAATCTTTCCTCTTCATAATATCAGTGTAGATTTTTGATTAATATAATATTATTGTAAATAAGCATTAAAAAGAATTTAGGTTTACGGACTTTTATGGCCCTAGTAGTCCCAGTTGACGAATGTGGAATAAATTATTACCTGCGAAAAGGTCAAAAAGATACAGGTGACGAAACAAGAACGAATCTCTACTTCTCTTTCCTTTGTTATCTCAACCCAAATCACTAGTAATACTATTGAATATAATAAATAGTTTCATATTACCTCAGCATTCAGACCATTGACATGGGGGTTTCACAACTTCCAAGAATAAAATAATGTGCATACTAGTTATATCAGATAATTTAAAGTTGGCCAAAACGTGTATAGAGGTTATGGTAAATTTATAACAAAACGTGGTTGGCCAAAAGTAAACAAGTTGCTCCAAAAAAAGTATTTCCATAAAAGAATATAAATGTCTGAAACTTTTATTTGTACACATTTTTGTAAATTTCTGCCATAGTTTTTATTTCTTGTTTTCTATTACATATACTAGTCATTCATTAATACAATTCTTTTTTTTCTCTCTTTATTTCAGCAATTAACTTGTGAAAAAATACAGGTAATATAACAACATAATACAATGAGATTGAAAAAATTGTTAGATATTCACATAGATATAAATACACATACATGTTTACATACATAAATACACAATAATTCACATATACTTACATGAAAAGCATATTGCCTACATATTCCATTTAAAATTCAAGTTTTCTAATTAGAAATTTTTTCTATGGTGTAGCAGTTTTTGCGGAGTAAGTATTTTTTCAGGAGATTTTTGAAAATTGTTAAGGAAGCTGCATTCTTTATGTGATCTGCTAGATAATTATAGCATTTGAATCCAATATATTCAAAATTTTTTTGATACCGGACGGTGGTATGCCGGTGGGGTAAAATAAGGTTTTTTCGTCTGGTATCATGTTCATGGTGTGTTCTGATGGCATTATAAGTGGCCTTATTTTTGAAAATGAAACAACACGCTTCAAGGATGTACGTGCTCATAACAGTCAAAATATTGAATTTTTTGAAAATCTCTGCATGACTCTTCTACTCACTTTTGCAATTATTCTGATTGCTTATTTTTGTAATAAGAACACCCTTTGTACAGAGGAACTTGCTTCCCAGTTTAAAATTCATTCATTTGCCCACTTCCATTCTCATATGAGAATGGAAGTGGGCAAAGTATAAAGACGGTCGGTAGCCAAGCGGTTCGGCGTGGGTGAGTTGTTCACTCACTCGAATTGACTGCCGTGTTGGTCGGTGGTTCAAGCCCTAGTCTGAATGATCGATCTTCACTTGCTATCGTCCAACCCGTGTTAGGAATCACACGTTAAAAGGTAAGACCTCGTTAATCCTTAGCTCGCACAAGTTTCGACTTTTGAGGGTTGTCGTTTGTAAGGGTGCGACAGCTGGTTAACGGAAAAACAGATTTTAAACAGACAGAAGGATATTTTCACTGCAATGACTCGACGTAAACTTGAGTGCATAACATCCTTTTCTAAGTTTGCCGCAGACAGTATCAATATGTGAAATCCATGAGAGCTTTGAATCAAAAGTAATTCCTAGCATTTTGATAGATTCAGAAGAAGACACGACTCTATTGCTATTTTCAAACAACAAAAGCTGGTGGTGTTCCCTACTATTTGAACAAAACATCAGGGCAATAATCTTTGATATATTAATTATTAAATAGTTTTTGTCTGACCAAGTTATCTCCTTAGCATAGGTAGTCTCAGCCAATAATTTTAATGATATGTGTGATTGATGGCTTGTTTACTTTATGGTAATTCATGATCACTTAAATGAAATGAATAAAAACACTTTTGTCTAAATACCACTGGGAAATTTTATTTATACGACCGGTTTCGGGTTTGATCCCATTATCCAGTATAAGTATAAGTTGGCATCCTGTCTCTTGAATACCTGTCCTTGCAGCATACCTGAAAATTCTATAAAATCGATATTTCAGAGTTCAGTTTTATACTTGATAATGAGATCAAACCCGAAACCAGTCGTATAAATAAAATTTTCCAGTGGTATTTAGACAAAAGTGTTTTTATTCATTTCATTTGAATTTTAATGATACTAAATCTTCTATAATTAAAATGTTTGTGTCGTCTGCATAACATGTAATAATTTTATTGTGTTCGTTCAAGTATGATATGGATCACTGGCAAATACTATGAATAGAAGGGGCCTAATATTGATCCTTGAGGGACATCTTGCGTAATGCCTAAGGGATTTCTGTTATTGTTGTTGTTTTTTTAACAATTTGCTATCTGTCAGATACATAGGATTCTAGCAAGCTATACAGTGTTCCCCTCAGTCCATACCTTGACAATTTCGATATAAGAATCTCATGAATAACACAGTCAAATGCTTTAGAAAAGTCTATGAAGAGGCCCATAACAAGTTTTTTTATTATCAAGAGATTGAATTATTTTGTTTTGGAATTCACATAAGGCTGTCTCGGTACTTTTTTTAGCTGTAAAACTGTGTTGCGAGTATGATAATAACTTGTTTGATGTCCATGGTTAGCCAGTGCGCCTCAACAAACCGAAGAAGTTCTTTCCTCTTTGTTTTCAGTTTCGAATAAAATCACAATCTCTTTCATGAAAACATGTATTTACAATATAATCTAAGATGTTTGGTCACAACAGTCAACAATAATAAAGTATTTGATTTTATCTATAGCGACAATAACAAGTCTTTATATGGAGTATCTGGCTGGTCCATAACTTTTGTAAAATTATCAATGAACGTTTGCCGTTGCTTGTCATTGGTTAAATTATTGAAAAAATCTGCCCCCGCTATACACAACATTTTTCTGTCTTCATATTCGTACCTACCGACTCTGGTTTGGACGTATGAGAAATATGAACGCAACCAATTGTTAGTGCTGGCGCTGATGAAGAAGCAGGTTAGGCACCAAGTTGCCATGCCAATTGAGAAGGACTGTGTGAAATTGGACAAACTGAAAACTACCCAGTCCTGTAACAATGGCAGTTGGTTTCTTTGGATTGCGCTCAGGAACACCTAAAATAAAATTCCTTCAAACTGTGCTAAAAGTTGTGCAAAAAATTTACTTGAAATACTACTTTGCTGAGCAATTTTGGATGAGGCTGTTGAGAAGACAAGAACTCCCCTATGACTTTGGTGAGGATATCAGAAGGAGAAAAGAAGTCGTTGAGAATATCCGGTAACACTGAGCAGAGTATTTCAACTTCATGAACATATCCTTTCTTTATACGTTCAAATATTGCAGATATTTTTTCCATTGTCTGTACCAAATGATCTGGACTCGTGGGTGTATTGTCAGAAGTTTGTACATTTTGCAGGTGATTAGCACAATCTGAAACAAAATCATTTTTTTTAGAGAACGATCAATGCATCTTTGGCTGATATTTATGAATTCGGATGTATATTAAATGTTCACGATTTTTCTAATTAGTTAAGTAAATTCAAAAAATTCAAAATCCAAGTTGTGGTACATCTCAAGGATCCATGCTTGTTCCGGTTGATATGCTCATGAAAAGCAAATAAGAAATTGAATGGTACCATCTAATTATTTACTGATGATACTCTTCGGCAGTTACGAAAAATTATAAAATGCCATATTATTATTCATCTTGATCAACACAGAGTGAATAAATCTGTCACAAGTAATAACACATCTTTTCTCAGCTCAGCAGACAATATGGGATATCTGAGTTATACCCTTTAATTTTGTAGTAGTCATTGATAAAATCGAGAGAAAGTATTATTATGTTTCTATTACACCGCTACAGTATCGAAATTCTGTTACCTATATACATATATGTCAAAAGTAACTGGGTCCCAAGAAGTGCAGATACAGGATTGTCATTTCTCATTTTATCTAGTGCTAGCTTCAAAAACTGCTTTCCAACTCGTTCCATCATTGATACTTTCTTGATTATCAATAATCTCTCTAGACCCTTCAATCGAGATGAACATTAATTATGTAAAAATGTTTTTTATACTTTCTCACCTTTATAACGCAAATATCCAATGGATTCATTTTAATCTTATTCAAGGACGAAAATGCCGATACCAGTGTATTTGTAACGAAATTCTGTTCCATATGAACTTCCTCCACGTTTTCGATCAAGTAAAATGTCAAAGACCACACCAAAGTGGAATGTTCCTGAGATTTTTTCAAAACACTGAAAATCAATTCAGATCACATTGAAATAACACAATAAAATTCCTTCATTGATTTATGAAACCACATAATTATTAAAATAATGAAAACTTTACCTATTTGTATTATTCAAATTGAATTGAACATATTCAACTGCGCATGGCAACATCAGCTGTAACTCCTCAGATATTCCACCAATTTTTGTATTGCTAAATTTACAACCCTCCAAAATGTACAGAAGCCCCTGTACGCATGACATCCTTGACACCAAATACGGGCTCTTCAGGTATTGCATTAGTAGTTTTTTGACTTGTTCATAAACTTCCAATTCCTAAAAGAAAATAACTATATCTCACAATATAAAAAAAATCTTTTGAAATATGATATGCTTCTGAGTTCAAACAAGATTCACAATTCATAGATTTCAGCTTACTGACATGGACTCACCGGAGACAACACAGCAACTGCCTTACATATTCCAACTATCAAATATTGATGTATGAATTCGTCTTCTACGGGGTGCAGCTTGGAAAGTTCTAGAAAAACATCCATCATCCAAGAAAACTGAGACTTGTCCGAAAAGAGATCGGATATCATTACGGTGGATCTCACAGCCTCATGAAGGACACGTATATGTGTGTTGGACTGTGATAACAACAATAAAGTCAATAGAAATAGAAGGAAAGTAGTGGTGAGAACCTCAATTGAAAATATTCAAGACACCTCACCTGTGGTTTCATAAGCTGCGTATAGTAATCAATCAAAAATTGAAGGCAAGAATTTATATCCAATCCATAATCTTCGAGCATCTTCTTTCGACTCTGAAATATTTCAGCAGTCAACGAATGCTGCTCAGGTTCTTTAAGACCCAGTGCATTAAGGAAATATTCAACAGAAACTTGTCCACACGAATATTCCTTACTGATTTTCTCCAAGTTACGACATTCAAACACATTAAAAATATTGGAGTAATTGTAAATATCTAATGAGTTGTCGTAACTTAGAGAAATTTGATTTTGAATGTGGTGCAATTTTCGAACCCTAGAATAGAATATTCAGTTTGTGATGATTCTATGATTCCTGTTTTCATTGTATCTTACCCGACGCTTCCATTATCCAGAGGAAGGTTCCTTGAAATATGGATCAGCTTCGAGATATTTGGATTGCCAGCCATCGAGCTCGTTAACGTTTCCAGTAAAAGTGCTGTGATAGCTTTAATCGCTAGACTGGACGCGTGTGAAGTCTCATTCATTTCGAGGGGATCTAAATTGTCTAGAGGAATACAAAGGACACTTAGGAGACACATCCAAGTTTCTTCAAACTGCTGTCTAGATGTCCAACCGAGAAAAGTTACCCTAAAGAAACAGAGAAATTTATTGAACGAAGAGCATACTAGAAGGACAAGTTGAAAACTCATCTTCCAAAATCTCAGAATATTGACTGTTACAAGTATATACATTTACGAGATAATAAAATATGTAAAATCGCACACAACCAGTTTTCCTACTCTTAATGGTAATGAGAATTATAATACTAGAAATTCCCTACAGTTGGAGGTGCCAACACACATATTAGTTGTATCTGAATCATGTCCCAGGCTTATTTATGGCCATTAAATTGTACAATAAACTTCCAAGTTCAATAAAAAATGTGTCTCTAAAACAGTATAACTATCAAATCAAAGAGTTGCTCCTGGATAAATCCTATTATACTCTCAAAGAATATATGGATGATAACTTATGACCCTGTACATGCGTAACATTTTAGGAAGATTTTAATAACGATGCTGTTACATAAATAACAGGTTAATTTTGGTTTTGACTTTTATATAGTATGCACATGCCCAACATTTCAGGCTGATTTTAATAACGATGCTGTTGCATAAATAGCAGATTATTTTAGGTTTTGACTATTATATATTATATTGTCTATGTAAATTGTGCCTCTAAGTGCACGGAGTTTGTATTTGTACACGTTTTGACATACTCAATGTCATCTGTTAACTGAATAAATATTATTATTATAACTTTAGGGATGAGTAGCAATACAAATTAAGGTAAAACAGTTAACTTTTTCCGAACATTTTTGAAAAACTAATGACATATATTTTTGCAAATTTTCTCACAGACAAAATCCTTGCATTCTCAATCAACTGTCTCAAAGTTCTACTGCTATAACCAACTTTTGCTTGAGACTGGAGTAGCCTAAATATAACAGATTAGCTCCATCTCGTGAACAAAGCCCTAAACAGGTAAGAAGCATTCCATGTACTTTAGTCAACTCTAGTCTAGTGAAACTCATAATGAGAGAGATGCTGCAATATTGACCATAGGTCTTTGTTGTGAAAGTAAGGTTTATTTCAATATGCCATAGCTTTTTCTCGAAAGATACAGACCTTGTTTTCCACCCCTTACAACCATGGAGTAAACCAAATAAATATCTGGCTGAGTGTCTTTTTGGTAGTACAAAACGTCAGGTTAATTTCAATATTGTAACCTTTTTAGTGCTAGTGAAAAAAATTGTCATACAAATTTTATGTACCCCCTTTAAGGGGCTGTATCTTAACAAGGGATGCTCCAATGAAATTTCTTCATATGAAAGATCCTATCTTTTTTTCGATGAGGAATCACCTCCTGACACAAATCAGTGTCACCATTTTTCGGGTTTGAAAGCCATCGATTTTTGGAATTTCTTCCTGACTTTTTGCTGGCGCGAGTGGCTTGCTTTTTCAAAGGTTTATACATTCTGAGTTATCTCCGATGACTGGATATTACGTTTGCCTAAAGCGTAATTATGTCGACTCATGTAGTTTGGTGTGCTAATACCTGTACCTGAACGAGGTAAATTGTAAATAACATTCGTCGACCCTTTTCTACCTGCCGCCATGCTGTTTTGCTATTTTTAAACTTTTTAGAATGAGATTTCATATTCGGTTGAGGTTCACAGATTCTTCTTTTCTGTTGAAATTATCTGTGTGTTGGTGGATCGCTATTGCCTCCCGTACCAGTCGGCTATGGTGTCTCAGAAAAACCAATAAACTGAAAACTTCAGCTGCGAAACCATCAACCATTTAGTCATCAAATCGTTTTGATTTCCATTAATATTTGTTTGATTCATTATAAATTCATGCAAAGAAAAACAGTTTTTTTGTATCAACATATTTACGTACCTGAGAATATATTCTTGGAGAACATCAATTTCTTTCAGCAACTCTAAGGGCAACGACGGAACCTGAGTTTTGAATAACCCCGACATTACATCGGGTTGCCAACCAGTTTTCCAGGCTTGATGTGGTACCAAAATATACGAGTTGACCAGCGGTATCCTCGATAAACGTATCACTAAACTTTTAATAGGTTTGAACAGAAAGTCAGGTATTTTTGATTGGTTCACAGCCTTTTGTTCGAACAACCAACAAGATAAAGTGTACATCTGGTGCACCGCATGTCCTATAGGTATTGTCTCTACGTTACTGAGGATTTCGTTCAAGGCATAAGTTGGCACACTTGGTACAGGCCTATCATTTCTCAGCAGTAAATTCACTAGGCGGTATATGCTATTTACAGTAGAACAAAACCACGTAACATTACTATCGAGTCCTAATAAATTGCAAACCTCCAATTTTCGGAAAATACCGTTGCTAGCATTCAGAAACATATCTGTCACGTGCACTTTGAAATCATCACTGTGGACTTGAGTTAAATGACTTACATACTCTAAACATAACACAGCAAACCTCATTATTTCTTCTAGATTATTATCGGAAATTTGATTGTTAGATACACGCTTCCAAACTTAGGACCTCTATAGTTAGATATTAATGTTACAAGGATGAGTTAGAGTTATAACAATTGAATCCGTTATGTGCGTATCGGCTCAAATAGTGGTGCTATAGATGTAAATCTCTCATCGATAGAATAGAAATTTCAAATAATAGCAAATGTCAAATTACTTTTAAAATTTATAAATAGTTAGTATCATTATAATGATTGTTATTGTAAACAGAATAAAGTTTTGAAAAAATATTTGAACAAGTCATTTCTTAACGGCCGTCGGCCCTTCAAAAAATCGTAACGGACGCAGGCTCTCAACATTAACTTTTCAATTGTCATCTGAATACCGTTAAATCAAAATGACAGTCAATTAAAGGCTTGGGAATAATATTGGACACATATTTACGGTGGGATTTGCAAACTAGTGCTATCTGTGATGAATTGAGAGGATTCTGTTCCCATTTTGAATTTCTCAAAGAAATTCTTCATATAAACCACTACCAATATTTTCATTCGATGACAACTCTGTCATAGCATTTCAGGAAAAGACAAAGTAAACAACTGTCACTTAGCACCATGCAAAAATGGATCATTAGAATTATCTGTGATGGAAAAAGCATATACTTAAACAATCAATGTCTTGTTCAAAGAAAGCAAATTTTTAGATCCCAGACAACTGTTTAGCTTCAAAATGTTCTTGTATTCTCGGATATAAAACAAAAAATTGAACACACTCAAATATGAGAACTAGAAAAGCAAACTGCCTGATTTTTAAAACCCAATTTGCTGAACTCATTACCAGATGATATAAAATCATTACAAAAATATTATTAAAATAAATTGAAAGTGGTATATTCTTCCGAAACGTCGACCACTGAAGAAAGATAAGTATCGATTTTTTTTATCAATTTGTAAGCAAAATTCATGAATACAAGTTACTGACTAATTGGACAGTAGTTTATATTACGCAGTAACTTTTCGGGGTTACTTTATTTAAATGGAATTCGAAATTTTATAACTGAATAAAGCCTAACTGTACGAAAAGTTAATGTATTATGCATTTTTAAGATCCTCATTAGTAGAGTACTTGCGCATCTGTTGATGGAGTTGACACTATGATGTATATGTATGATGTGATCCAATCGAATTGATATAGAAGAAATATTTAGTTACCATTCAATATGAAACTTCAACTATATTTCCAGAATTGAAACTTCAATATTTGACATGGAGCAAAGAATGAACATTTCTTTTATATTTCTCTCAGTACTACCATATCAAGTATGCATCAATCAATTTTATAATGTCATTCTATCATTTGTTACCTTTACATGAATGTCTCATTTATATAATTCAAATCTTTTACTGTTTATTATGTTTTTTTATGAGTCTATTTTAAATTGTGATATTTCAGTGAATACTTATTCAATTTAATCTAAAAACGCGCCATTTGAATCNAAAAGTTTAGGAATAGCTGATTGTATACATATTCCTCGATAGTTGGATACATCCTCTTTCGAACCACTTTTGAAAATGGGACGTATATAGCTCTGTTTCCATAAATCAGGAAATATACCACTAGCTAGGGATTTGTTGTATAAAAGAAAAAGTGGATATGATAATGAGTAAACACATTGTTTCAACAAACATGAAGAAACTCTGTCTGGGCCACTAGATAATGTAGATTTCATCATACAAATGGCTTCAAAAACACTAGACAGTTCGAAAGCACAAATAGAGAGATTAATTGTATTATCACATTTAAAATCATTTATAAGGGAAGGATCTGATTCTACATAGACTGTCGAGAAAGATTCAGCAAAATAGTCAACTGTGCTATGTATATCTGTAGAAAGATGTTCATTATATGTTATTGAGATAGGTATATCATTTAAGTTTGTTTTGTCTCTTACATACTTCCAAAAATATTTCGGATCATTATTTAGGTTTGACTCGATATTGTTTAAGTAAGCTTCATAGCAGACTTTCGTGAGATATTAACATTGAGATCTTAAATGAGTAAACAACATGTAATCCTCATTGCGGTTGTGAATTTTGAATTGTTTGTGAATGCGTTTCTTCTCAGACATCATTTGCTTCAATTCAGATGAGAACTTGAATGTGACTACTTATTCAATTTAATCGAAAAACGCGCCATTTGAATCAACGCCAACCTATCACAAATCTATTAATCCCGTCAGAATAAAATTGAGTGCTTGGGATTTGATGAAATCGACGAAGGCCGTTTTTTGTCTGGTCCTGATTGGCGAAAGTTCTACCAGTGAGAAAGTTATCGAAGTGCTTGAAAAGATGGCAATCGGATGGAGAGAGGTCTGAGAAATATGGTGGGTGAGGTAGAACTTCGAAGCTCAATTCGTTTATATTTTGGACGGTGATTTGTGAAACATGCGGACAAACGTTGTCGTGGAGCAGGATCGGACCTCTTCTGTTGACCACTGCTGGCTGCTGCTGACGCAATTTTTGGTACATTTCGTCGATTTCCTCTCAATAGGACTCTGGCTGTGATGGTTTGGCCCGGTTGCAGAAAGTTATAGTGAATCACTCCAGCCGCTAACCACTATACAGTAGCCATTGTGTCTTTTTGGTGGGGTTTCGCCTTTGGGTGGCTCATCAGTGTCTAACCTTTGTCCTGAAGGTGACCTGCTGTTGTAGAGGATCCACTTTTCATCACACGTGACGATCCGATCCAAAAAATGATCGTTTTGGTTGCGCAAAAGCAAAGAACAGACCTCGAAACATGACAATTTCTGTCGATCGTTCAAATTATGAGGCACCCATTTTTCAAGCATTTTGAACTTTCCAATATGTTTTAAGCCACCAAAAACTGCTCAGTTCTTTCGCCATCCCAGGAACCGTATGTGATGGGTCAGTCTCCACCAGGGTCCGCAAATCTTCGTCCTGGATTACTGTAGGTCGGCCACTTCGGGGCTCAACTTCGAGGATAAAATCTCCGAAACGAAATTTCGAAAACCAACGTCAAACAGTGCGTTCATTAACACTATCATTGCTAAATGCTAGGTTAATTTTTCGGGCTGTTTCAACAGCTTTTTGGTTCAATTTGAATTGGCTGCAAATCACTTAAAGCCATAATATAGTAATGAGCTGAGAAAAGGAAAAAAAAAATTGGAAAAAATCAACAGCATCAATGTCTAGAGTTCAAAATTCTCTATTGATCAGTGAATATCATGTCACAGAATACATATTAATTGAAATATGGAGCTACAAAAACATATGACATTAAAACGGTCAACACTTTTTGAAGAACCTAATAAATGCCTGGATCTCATATGAAATTGTCGGCTTAGTTCATATACATATCCCCTTCTTGTACGCTAGATTGATACAATACATTGAACAAAATTTTTGCTGCATTTTCGAACAAAAATATATGAATAAAAAAATGAGAACTCACCTGATGATTAGAAGGCATTTTGCTCACCAAAATATCAATATCCTTCAAAACGCAGTCGATACTGGCACTGATCAAGTCAGATTCCGCAGTCAACTTTTGTTTTCTAATATTCTCCAAACCCAACCTCAAGCAATCTTTCAAACAAGATTTATTGAACCCATCGCTACACATGAAGCTGATGATTTCATGGTACTCGATTTGACTCAACAGTTCAGCCATTTCATTTCCAATATTGGCGTCATTGCATTTCGCCTGTATCTGGGACAAATACCAAGTCCTGTTAACGTTCAATTTTTTTATGTACTGTGGGTTAACTACCCGTCTCTGTTCGAATTCTATAGGGCTGAGATCGTAATATTGCACTGAGAGCTTGTTCAAGAGACTAACTAGAGTTTCGTGCCTGAAAATATATGCAAATATACATCGATATCATTCACTCACAAAAATACATTCGAAATTTCAAATGTAATGTTTTAAATCATCCCCTGAACAAAAAATAACGCCGGTCGCCGCTGGTCGTTATAAATCAATTGTGGCATGACGACGTGTGCTTCGCGATTCACAATATCCACCTTGAAAATATATTATCATGGATAAGGTAACATATGGATTGTTATGCTGTTATGTTATTGAACGAGTACTAATTTTACAGAAATGTATCCTCAGAAGTATGTTCAATCTCAAACGCACTCACTATATTTATTAATGAAATGAAAACTGTCATCAGTCTGCCGGGACTAGTGATAGGTGAATTATTAAACAGACGGACACAGCGTTTATCAATAACAAAATTATTAACAACAAAATAACGACAAACAAAACACGAAAAAGAAAATTACCTCAAGGAACTAACGCTAAGTTTTTTCTCGATCAGCGAGGAGACTCTAGAGCGGGTTTAGTTCTCGGCGGAAACTGAATAAGAAATAGTTCCCGGCCGAAACCCCACAACCGAATGAATGCCTCAGCTAAAAAAATGTGTTCGAAGTAACTCTCGAAAAATCATCACTGGCAATAGGCTGGGTCATAGATATAGTCAAGAAAGGTCAAACACTTGGGCCCGAATTCCTTGTATTAATCGGTAAGAGTGTTACCTATGTGTACCTACTCGAAACATCTCAAGGGATTTCATTCTAAACATTCATCTGTTTTTCGGCAATAAACTTTCGTTTCCAGAGAAGAGAACATTCTAATGATATGCTATGAGAAAATACGAAAATGATAAGTTAAAATAAATATAAAAGAATTAACATAAAAACCCAAGCAGATGGATATTTTGGACGACTACTCGATAATAGAGTTATGAAAAGTTAGTTTCCTAACAAAATCTTATAATACAAAATAAAAATCAATAAAGAAATGAAAAGTTTCTAAACTAAGTAGTTGTAGGAAAAATCCTACAAGTCTATATATTCTCGAGGCTGCTTGTTATGTAAAGAAACATATAATTGAATTTCCAACCTTCAAAGATGTAAATAAGTATATTACTAGAAAAGGGGACAAACTTTACCTACCCACAGCTCATCTAACACAAGTTCACAAAGGACTTTTTATGACACCAATAAAAATCTATATTAACCTTCCAGTTGATATAAGAAGTAAAAATGGATTAATCACTTTCCAAAAAGCAGTGGAAGACTATCTAAAAGGCCATGCTTTTTATTCATTTGGGGAATGAGCCTTTTTCCTGAAGTACGAAAAATCACTCACTAGCAGCGCTAGTAGCTCGGTAGGGACAAACACTGCCTACTCCTCATATAAACATATGGTAAAGTACAATTAAAAAATAATGTTTTAACAGAAGATGTTCCTGGAGCAAAATTAAAATTTGAAACTGTAAAGTATAACAATGTTGTCACATCAAAACGTTGGCTTTCATGTCGTAATTTAAAAGTAACTGGAAAAAAAGTGAATTAATAGACAGGTTAGTATACATACTCTAGTAAAAGAGTAGCGGTAGATTCAAACTGTAATAAAAGAATTGAATATAAAATTTATTATTATTATTATTGTTCTAGTTAGATGCCGCGTCGCTTTGATAGCGTTCTAGCAAAATCCCTATTTGCTTCGAGAGAATTCGATTACCATATATAAACGCTACCACACCCCAATTGAAAAGTCATGTGACAGTGCGGTGCGGAGTGAATTCAAATAAGGCGATAGACATGTGAACATTATTTTGAAGTTATAGTTGAAGTGTTTGGTTGTATTAACAGTGAAATTACGTTGAGTTTGATTACTGTACATTGTAGTTAATTACCGTCGAATCCACGGGGAAAACGTAATAGTAATGACAATTTGCCTTTCCATATACCAGAATCGTGAAAAACGTCTCGACGCACATTGTGCAAGTACAGCTCTGCCCTATTTACCAATTACTTCTTCGGTTATAACTATTTGTCTATTCAGTAGTGTCAGACCGAAAGTTCGGTTTCGGCAAAAAAACGGATTTCGGCGCCAAACCTGCCGAAACTACGACCGGAACTGCATTCGGGAGTTCCCGCGCTGTGATCGGCCATGTTCGGCGCGTTGAATTTCATACAATCGACGAAGACATTTTGCCGCTTCCACGTGCCTAATCATGTCGTGACTATTGTGATATTAGGTATCAACTCGAATAAGTAATTTTATGTTTAATATTTTTGAAAACCCATCAATAATATTCAAAAGAAGAGTCTACACCTACTCAAATGAACACCTCACCTATTTTAAGTATTTTTAAGGTGCAATTATTTTTTTTTTTGCGTAAGGGTTTTTTTATGTAGATTATCAATAAGTAAAAATGTCGAAGAGTGCATAACGTTGTGATTTAAAGATAAAAAAATAAAGACTGACTGATTATAAAAACGTTTTCTTTATTTTTCCCTCAAAACATAAACCTTGTAAGGAAGTTTCGGTTTCGGCCGAAACTGGGACCGTTCCCGAAATTCGGTTTCGGTCGCAAAAACCAGTTTCAGTCGGACACTACTATTCAGTGTAAGATATTATGAAGGATTTGAAAAAAATACTCACTTTTTGACCAAGTTCAAGGAAACTAATAACCTTTGAATTTTGGTCAGGGTTTCCTTTGATAATTGGTTACTCACATCTTCCATGGGCATCATCAGTAACATTTCAATTTTTCTACTAGCCAAATTAGCGGCCATTCGTGAAACTACCGCTTGATGGCACTTTAACATGTCCGGAATCAACAAATTCAATACCGGGCCTATTTGTGACTGATGACAGTTCTCGATACATTTCAATACTTTTACTTTGTCGACGGACTGAAAAACTTGGAAATTAGTGTAAATGAAAACCAAGGCTAATTGATTTTTATACAGAACGAGCGTTTTTGATATGTCCGGAGATGCTCCTTATAAAAACTTCGCTAAAGGAAGGATTTCTATGAACGGAAGAGATGAATTCCAAAACTGGCGGTTCTTCTAATAAAGCCACCAAAAATGGAGAATTGTTTCGTAAAAACCACGTCACATGATCAGCATCAGAAATATTCTCGCTCTAAAAGTAAAAACCGAATTACATGTCTTTAAGTTGATTAAGGCTCGACATACCAAGTAGTCACAAAATGAAACTACACCTCCAACTTTCATTATTTCCAAATCAATTGAAAACTTATTTTGCCTGGAAAGGAAAATAATGACGATAAATATCAATCGAGGAGTATCTAACTTTCTTACCTTTCGTTCAAAACTTTGATATCTACCGCGAAAACTTTTGACCAAAAATGTTCATCATTGAAGTTTAATGGCGTTAAACAATTGCACCACTGAGCGGTCAGTACAGGGTGGAATGCTGCTAAATTGATGAAATTTTCATTAATTTCACTCAACTGCAGAACGTCATCTTCGCCATATGGAATGTTTTGATTAACAACATTTAAAGCCGTGCTCGAAATCTTACGATGATTTCCTGAAAAACATCGACTGGTTTTATTTCAAATTGAAAGGCAAGATATTTCTAGTGTAGATTAGTTTTTGAAGAAAAACCTTTGTGGCTTTGACTTTCCCATCTTTATATGGGAAAATTTTGAAGAAAGGAAGAAAGCAATCAGGTTCAAAATAAATTATTATCAAATCAACTACTTTCATATGAACATTGAATTAATTGAAAAATACTATTTTTATTTAATCTGTTCTCCAAACATTTATTGAATTGACTCATATACCGAAGTACATTTGAAAATTGTATCTAGAATAAGTTTTTTTTTTTATTAAAAATATAACAACAGAGTACAGTTCAACATAGTTAAGACACTATGAGTATCAAAATACGTTGTTATTCTCCCTAATCAGTAAAAATGTTGGTCTATGGATTCACAAACATTCAACATGACAAGTAAAATATGAAAACTAGAAAACCAGTACAAAGCTCATAGTAGTAACGTATCAGACATGTGCATCGAGGCTCAGATGTTTTTTAAAACTATGGATGAATGAACTATAGCCCGGCAATTCACATATATGGACAGGAAATTCATTGAAGACTTTTACAGCCTGTGTGAAAGGATTGTATAATCCTTTGTTCGTTCTTACCATGCTCAGGTGTAGGTCATTTCTACCCCTTGTATAATACTCATAAAAATGGTTGATGACTAGTAGATCGTTGTTGCTGAGTCTTTTGTTTTTTATTTTATATATGTTCTTGCATTGCTCAAGTCTAAGTAGATATTTAAATAGTCTGGGAGAATAGATCTTTTGTGTGGGTTCAAAATAGAATTTGAAATAAAATTTTCACTGATTTATTTTGTAGCGTTTGAATTTTTTTGAAATTAGAAATGCCACAATTACCCCATATGATTAACAGATACCTAAGATTCGCCAATATATATGCAGTGTAAAGTATTTATTACTGAAACTTAAGTAACTGGAACACCTATATAGAGCTCCTAACATTGGTACAATTTTATCATTAATATGTTCTATGTGACCAGACCAGTTCAACTTTTCATCTATTATGAGTCCCAAATACTTGGTTTTTGCAACATTCATTAAGGGTAAGTTATTTATTCTTAATTCAATATTTCCACAAATTCTATTTGTAATGGTTTTTGCAGAGTTCACCTCAATTTCATTATGCGCAAGCCAATTTGAGTATTTAGAGAGATCTTCATTAACTGTGTTCTCCATAAAGTGTAAATCATATCTACTGTACAAAAGGACCGTGTAATCGGCGAACGGAAAATACCTTCTCCAGAGGCTCAGCGTGCCTCAGAGACAGTACCATCAGTGTATACAACAGTTATTCCAAAAGGAATCCCTGTGGTGAGCCACAATTATTTTTTTTATGCCCACTCATGCTCTCACCAACATCGACAAAATGGGATCTTTCCTTTAAAAATTGGATCTTTCCTTTAAAAATGTCTCAAATGTCCAGCGTGTTATTAGCCGGGGAAGTAGTTGTTTTCCGGCAGACATTTACCATAACATACGGTGTAGGTACTTTGGGAGAGATGATTGTTTTGAGATTTTATTTCGAAATATTTATTTTCTTATAAAGACTTGGGCATCATTCAAAAGAAAACTACACAACGTGATAAATGGAGGAGCACTGTTATAAAATTTCACTTACATAGAAATCTAGCATTCTTAAGATGTATTTTTTGAACTTTTTTGTAAAACATCACGACTTCTGTTCATATCACGTAGACAGCACGTAAAACATTTAAACGGTGACTTTGAACCCATCCATAGAAACTTCTCCTAAAAAACATATTCCCTTTGAATTTAAACGAAGTTCCTATGGCTGGGATTGAAACATTGTACCTGGATTAGGTAAATTGTCATTTTACCTAATCCTATATTAGGTACATTCTCTTTTACCTAATCCAGGTTCAGGTGTTAGCACACCAAACTACTTGAGTCAACATAAGTATGCTTTTGTAATACCCAGTCATCACAGATAAACAAACTCAAGATGTATAAACCTGTAGAAGGTAGCCACTCGCCCCAGCGAAACGTCAGGAAGAAATTCCGAAAATCGACGACATTGAAACCCGAAAAATAGTGTCACTGACGCGTAAAAACCATTTTGTCAGATTTGAGCTGATGCAATAATTATGTAATTTGTACGAGACATATTTTCCGTAGTGTACCTTTCAACTTATATATGTAGTTTTTGAAGTTGCTGAATATCTTCTGATTTCAGCTGAATAACTTTGTGATTCTAACTAAAACACGAATGAATAGAAAAATTGGTTCTCTAAAAATCTAGTTACAGATATTCTGTTCGTAACATTGTTTTGCAAATTGCTCACCTGACTGAAATAAATACAAGTATTGGAGTAATAATCCAGAAAATTGTTCCGTTAGAAATGCTTCCTGTCCTTCTCTCACAAAGAGCAAACATTGTTTTACCATTATTGATACTATTCTGAATAATAATCTACAAAAAATCATCTCTGCCGGAATTCTTTGAAAGGTGTCTGCGTTGTTATTCACATTCAGAGGATCAGCTTTCGTGACGACATTATCATAAATACTTCCTGGAGAGAACTCGTGTTTCAACTTGTTGATTTTTGATAAGAGTGTTTCTTCTTTAACAGGAGTGATCACGAAGAGTAATACCAGAATTTTGGACAACCAACCACAGATTGACGCTAAATCACTTTCCTAAAAAATGTAATTCACGAATGAAAATTTTTATCTGTATGAGAATACTTGCCCTTGGAGGTGGATCCTGAAAAAACATTATGATGATCTCATCAAACGGTTTGAAGACTTCAGGATTCAGAGCTAAAATAAACCTTCTCATCGAAGACAAAGCATCTGAACTATCTAACTTCAGTTTGTTCTGTTTCAACCTAGGGAGTACAACGCTAAAGACCCTTTTGGACCAATCGTACCACTTCTCTGTGTTGTCAGTGCAATATTTACTATCTTCCAGAATTAAAGATATCAAGTCGAGCACCTGTATGTCATCGCATAGACGTAACAACATCGACAGAACCACTTCGCGAGTTGTTTCCAATTCTTTTACGTCTGATGTGTTGGATTTGTTTCTGCTGAGAAATATATCCTCTACTAAAGGTTCTAAAGCTGGTATGCAATGTGTTAGCGAAGGCTGGCCGCTAGCCATTAAACCATCACAGAGCTGAATTATCTTCGGAACACCTATGATACATTTGGAATGGTGCTTGCTATACGAAAGTTGGACCAGGAACTGGAAGATCTTTGGTATCAATTCTTCTGTAGATCTGATGAAAAGTTTTATCGCCTCAAGTTTGGACATGAATTTATTTTCTCTCATAATGAATCTCAACATTTGAAGTGATTTCCGAGCACCATTAATGATGTGAACATCAAAAATGAACTTGCTGTCAAAGAGACTCACTCACAAGTCTATTATTTGCTGGTTACATTTCAGTAGTACACCATTGAGGGTATACTGGCCTTCATGGACATTTTTATTTCTTGTAAACGTTATGTAGTGACACTTTTGATGATCTACACATAGATCAAGGACATGAGTGGACCCAAATGTGATTCTTGTGGTACACCCGATGTTACTGGAGTGAGTGAGAAACAAGTTGGATTTGGTTTTTCATTACGTTCACATAATATTGCGAAAGGGCTGGTAAGACCTTAGAACTCAAATGAATGAATAATCTTTCGCATTTCTTGAATTTATTAGGAAGTATTGCCAAAGTGTGAGAGTATGTAAGTGAGCAAGTATCAAGTAATAAGTCGTAAGCAGTTAGATCACTGATTTTTAGTGGCAAAATCCATGCAAGAGCATAAATATTGTATTTTGCTCATGATACCTATATCTACAAGTAGTAGTTTTTGAGTTGAAACGATTTGAAACTTGTGACTTAAGAGTGGTGCATCTATTCACAACAAAAAACCTATTGAACATTAATCTTGAATTCATGAAACAACACATAATAGATAATTGAAGAGATATTATTAGGAGAAAATGGAAATTGATCCAAATTTACTTAGGTACTTTGCAAGCATGTAATTTTTGGATGTATACTAAGACAGAGGTCCCAGTTCTATCTTTCATGTCATTTTTATGTTACTATAATACAATCCAACTGAATCTTAGCATTCTTTTACATGACTGGAACACTTGAAACTTTAATAGAATACCTTCATAATATAGTATGACATTTAGATCGTTTTCCTTGAATCCAAAAAGCAGTAATTTAGGTAAAAAAAACTACTTATATTATACTACATAAACATATAAAGTGTTTTTTGAATACGTTACTTATTTTCATCAAGTATCGGCCAATTCCATCATAAAGAAATAAGAAAGAATGTGTAAACGTAGCTTACAGAATGAATAATATTCTAAGTAAATGTATTAAAGACAATAAAGACAAAACTTCGGTGTCGGATAGATCAAGAGTTTATAAGCTGATTTGTGGCTCTTGCCCAAAACTGAATATTGGCCAAACAGGGAGATAACATTTCCCAAAGAATTAAAGAGCTTAGAAGTAGTTTTAAAAATAGAAAGACCAATTACACATTTGCAAACCCCCTTTTAGCAGAAGGACTTGAGTTCAATCATGAATACGATGTGTTACATTTAGAGGAGAAGAATTTGAAACTTAATCTTCTAGAATATTTGGAAATTAATAGATTCGGAAATTCGGGTAACTTACTGAATGATCAATTGTAGAATAAGTTATATTGAGCATTGAATATGTATAATTAGTTAGTAAAGACACGCCTGAAGAAGCCATTGTATGACAAAACACGTGATGCATTTTTGTAAAATCGTTTAGGTGAAATTCTCACAATAGTGTTTTTGAATACGTCTAAAAACCTTCTTTGATTTCAACAAAACAAATCTGGTCCACGTAACTTTAGAATAATAGGAGAATATTTAAAGTAACCTTTCCAAAGATGTAGAGTAGAACAAGAGGTACATTTTTATGGTGTCTACAGCATCGACTGCCATGGTCATTAACTTTGTGTTCTGAATAGGCTATGCTAATAACTACCTAGCCACCTCAGAAAAATTCCTGTGAGAAAAATATCTGGTTCAAACCACAATATCTGGATAATGAGGCAGGCATACTAACTTGCGTCAGTGTAATACGACCCCAATCAGACTAACCATGTGGCAAGACTAATTGCTTTCATATATCTTTCAGAATTCACTTTATCAACTCTCTTTATGAAAATATGTAGTAAGTAATGAAGTAGCCCAATGAAACAATAAAACAATGAAACTGATGATGCAACAAAGCTTATGGATAATCTAAAAACGAAAAAGGTCATTTTGTATCTTTCCTAGTGCTGTATTGATATCGTCTGAATGATACGGTCCATAGAAATGATATTGTTAAGTGAAATTAAGAGTGTCACAACTTACGGTACTTGACCTTCTTCAATGAACTCAAACTGCTTGATGACAAAGCCAATGAAGACTTGTTCAGAATCAAGTAAACAATAGTTGACTCTGAGTTGAACTAGCTGACTCAGTAATTGTAAAACTTGGCATTGTAGTCTAACGTCACTTGTTACAGTATATTGCTAAAACAAAAAATTATTGTAGAAAAGACTAAATAACCCAATGTTTCAAATGTTCAAATTTGAATCTGTTGAAATGTTGATAAAAAAAAAAGTTTTCAAAGGAATATTTTTCTCAGGGAAGGATTTGTTGGGATTCAGTCAGCGCAAAACCGTTTTATCTACAAACCTAATTATAACAACGTAGCATAGACATTCTATTCATTTCAGAAAAACTTACTTTCAATGACTTAATAACCATAGGCTCGAAAATCCTGATATATTCAGCTAAGATTTTATCAGAACTCCTTGACAGAACTACAGATCTTCTTTTGACATCTGTCCGGTGCAGATAGCCCATAACCGTACTGTCATCATCGAAATCATGCCTACTGATGTTATTCAAAGCGACGTAGAACTGAGAAATGAGGTTATACGGTTTTTGGAAAACATTATGGTAAAATCCTTGCTCGCCAACCTTGAAAAAATTGCATGAGTATGTAAATTTTTATAATTTGGAACTGGTACTTGTTCTTCAACTTTTTTCTCTGCAAATTCGGTTATATTCGCCATTAAATTGGTTCCAAACAGGCACTTCAATAGTTGCTGCACACATTCCACTGTCGCTGAGGCTTCCACCACAAACGTGGAACGTAGATAAATCAAAATATCTTCAGCAATCTTGCCGAATTCAGTTAGTGAACTTACTTCCATCAACACTGAGAGTGACTGAAGAGTTGTGACAAGCAACTCCAGGAAGGTTTGCGAAGAAACAGAATCTATGGACATCTGAAATTATCGTTTATTATAAGAACTGATAAATAACTCGCGTGTATGAAATGAATACTCGAGAATATTTCTATAAATGATCATCATATTTGAGTTGCCTTCAATGCAAAGCAATATCATTTGGAGGAAAAGAAGAGAATGGTATAATTTTGGAATCTCAAATTAGAAATATATACATAAAAAGAGTTTGGGTAATCAATTATTACACACATCACCAAAATTCTTGGACCCTCTTATGTTTGTCTAAATAAGGCACTATTATCATAAGTCAAGAAGTGTATTACAAAGTACATTCAATTTGGTTATGTAACCAACGCAAATTGGCTGAATTTAATTTTAACCGAACAAGAAAGAAAATACAAACGAAAAATAGTGCATAATAAAATGATTACCATAATTTGAAATGTAGAAGAAAACCATTTTAGAGCGAAATCAAAAATGCATTAATATTCGGTGTGTCCTCCCCTGTTCTGTAATAAAATGTTAACTTGCCTATGCATGGAAACAATAAAGGCGTTAATGGTTTCCATTGAGATGTTGTTCCATTCTTCTTGGGCCGCGAGTGTGAGTTTCGGTAGGGTGCTAGGAGGTATAATTCTGTTTGAGATTGCATGTTTAACGAATTCCCACATGTGCTCAAAGAGATTCATATCTGGTGAATTTGCTGGCCACGGTAATCTTTGAATATTCTCAATCTCTAGTGCATTTTGTACTTTTTTCTTGCGATGGCGCCTAGCATTGCCATCCATGAAAATGAAATTGAGTCCAATTTCATTTTGGAGAGGATAAATAATGGGTTCAATAATGTTTCGAACATATCTATTTCTTGTCATAGTATTTGGAATGGGAATAAGCTGCGTACAACAACCATGCATTATGCCTCCCCAAAAAATTACTGATCCTCCTTGGTATGGAACTACTTCTCTAGCAAAAGATAGTCTTTCTTGTCGCCCTGGCCCTCTCCAAACTCTGTGTCGTCGACTATCACTAACTAAACCAAATCTGGTTTCGTCCGAAAAAAGGACATTTCGCCACTGAGCTAAAAGCCAGTCTCTGTGTTCCTGCGCCCACTGTAGACGAACGGCTATGGGTCTGAGAAGTAACCTGGGTACTCTTAATGGCCTCCTGGATTGCAAATTGGCTCTAGCAAGTCTCCGCCGTATTGCGGTACTGGAAATTAATCAACCAAACATTCTTCTTAAATACATATCCTGGTAGATACCGATCTTCTCTTGCATTAGTTACCCTAGGATGCCCAGTTTCACGTCTCCAGTCAACGCTGTTAAGTTTCCTTGTGCAAATGCACTATTCGGATAACTGAAGCACGGGGAATCCTTAGTCTATCCGCGATTTGATGATTCGTCAGTCCTCATCATGGAAAGCCACTATTCTTGTTCTATGGAATACTGAAATTCTATTGCTAGACGTAATTGCAAAGAAGACTCAACAACCACTTAAACACGCTAAATCGTTATGAACCACTTTTTAAACATTGCTATCTACAATTAGAGGAAATTGTTTTTGTAAACATTTTTGCATGTAAGAAATAAAGATGAAATGTACAAAAAACCAGCCATGATAAATATTTTGTTTTACAATTAGGGGGGTCCAAGATTTTTGGTGATGTGTGGAATGAAAAAAAACTTTCCTTTTGATAAATCAGACTATTTCCATGAATGTTATGAAAAATAGTTCAAATTTCAAGTAAAAGTAATTCTCTGGGAAAAAAATGTGTTGGTTTTCTACTTCTCCATCTTTCAATCAATTTCAAAAAATCAACTCTATACAAACATGTGTAGATCAGACAAAGAAGTAACTGTCAGACACAAACTTCATATTAAAATAACATTTATTGAGAGATTTTCACTGAAAAGATCACAAAACCGTTATTACTAAACACCCCTGAGAAAGTTATTGTACAATGAAATAAGCGCCGCAGCTTTGTTAACTGGCAAGTTAAAATATCACAATAAAATTGTTAAAGTTTGTTTTCTACGAACTTGACTGACTGATTGATTGGGAGGTATTTGAAGAATTTACAAGATCTTTCGAATATTGTATGTTACAGATCGCTTCTGAGATCAAATAGATTAGTTTAGAAGCAGTTTATGGCAAGTGACGAAGTTTGCAGAGATATTAAGTACAATAACTGTAAAGTGTAATGAGCCTTTTTCCTGAGAATAGTACAGCTTACGTGTCACGAGAGGCAGCACTACTAGCAGGGACAAACATAAACTATTCACACGTAAAACAGTGTTATTTACGTATTATTCAAAAATATAAATCTGACAAAAAATTATTTTCTGCTAGTATAATGCCAACAAAGCATTGCTGTTTTGCGAATTGTACGCAAACTGTACATGCTTCGAGGAGAGTGGATTTAACAGTGCAAAAAATAAGTAAATATTTATATGTATGCTCTAAACATGAAATGAATAGTAAATTTTTCGTAGTTGATTACCATTGATTAGAATTAGATATAACCTCAATCGTTTATTAAATTATATTCATTTAATATATTTAATTAAATTTATTTCATTACTACCTATATTTGATTCATATTTCACTCGGAAATAAATCTGAAATTCATGATTATTTTAAATTTCTTTTATAACAGTTTGAATCTACCGCTACTCTTTTACTAGAGTCTGTATACTAACCTTTTTATTAATTCACTTTTTTTCCAGTTACTTTTAAATTACGGCATGCAAGCCAACGTTTTAATGTTACAAAATTGTTATCTTTTACAATTGCAAATTTTAGTTTTGCTCCAGGAATATCTTCTTCTATTAAAAACATTCTTTTTTAATTGTACTTGAGGATTATGAGGATTACACAGTGTTTGTCCCTACCGAACTACTAGCGCTGCTAGTGAGTGATTTTTCGTACTTTAGGAAAAAGGCTCATTGAAGTAAATTTTGAGTATTTCCATAAAGTTGTTCAATCTGATTATATGCTTTACTTTTCAAAAATACTAAGTTACTTTGGGGTTTCTATCCCAAACGACCTTCCTCGGAAGGTAAAACTGGAACTTTATAGCATAGAATAAATCTAAAACGTGCAGTTTTCCCAGAGACCAGAAATGCAATACTCTATTCGACGCGCGTTTCGCCATCTCCTGAAGTCGCGAAGTTGGTTGGTGAAGCGCGAGTCGAGAATAGTATTGCATTTCTAGGGTTTGGGAAAAGTGCTCGTTTTGAACTCACTGTAATTACCTAATTCTTACCTAAGTCTTCAGTAAACTTGAGTTCTATTATTGTGTGCCTCTAGGGCAGGACCCGCCCTCAAAAATTTGAATGAGTCAAACAAAACTGTTATTATCTAATACTAACCTTATAATTTGAAAATGAACTTTTCAATGTATCAAAAATTTTCATGTAGTGACTAGACTGAGCAAAACACCCCAAAGAACTGGTTTTCATGTAGTCTTTTTTATCTGCTTTCTCTTCTTTATCATATTTCATTGCATTCATCGTCTTTCTATCGAGATCACTTTTCCGCCTTTTTAATGGAGACAAGGAACTTGCAGCTGGAAGATTGGGTAGTGTCACTTTAGTATGAGGTTGGGCAGGGTTTGAATCGTTTAGAACATGGTGAAATATATTCAACAACTTTATAGTGTGGTTTAAGTAAGTTTCTGATATTTCCTGAAAGGCATCGTTACTGAACATGCTCCACATGGAGTTGGTACATTCAATATTGATAGGCTTCAGCAAAGGAAGAGATTGCCCTGAAAATTGAAAAATGTAACAAATGTAGAAACACATAATCATTCACTTCCATCGCACATCTCTCAGAAACTGTCGGAGAATCTATTATCAAATTTAGTACCATGACCAGAGTCTTCTCAAAGATGGCAGATCTACCGAAAACAGTTTTCTTAATTGTTTCATTAAACACAAATTATCGACAAGGGAAAACGTATCATTTCTGGGAATACCTTCAATGACAAATTGAGTTAGTTAAGATATACTGATCAATTAATTCGAAAACTATCAAGTATCTTGTTCAAACCTCATTTTATTCAACAGAATGTCCCGAAAAGAAGAATTGATTTGTAATTTAATTATAGTGATATAATTCAGAACAAAAAGTATTTACAGGCAAAGCATGTTTCTGCTTTATTAACTGTCATCACTTGGTTACAAGAAACATGTACATGTTGTGTCAGGTGGCCCTAAGTTTAAAGTATTATCTGACGTCACCAAGAAGCCAGATGCCTTTTCATGACTCATGAAAAATACAAAACCATCTCTATATTACTTATACTATATCCTGGACCAATCTAGTGACATTGGTAGATGCCTAGAACTCTGTGCTACCTGACTAAAACCATTCATGCGAGGCTCGTTTGTTTTTGCGGGTAAGACTTTCAATCAACATACTGAAAATGCATAGATATTTTCTTTCCGTAACCGAAAAAATGTGTAATCTTCAGTAGAAGATTCATTCATTACTGATTTTCTATATCCTAATCTTCACTGTTGAGGTCAGTACTAGATTGTTGGTAGTACCAGTCTACAAAAGAAATTAACAGTTAGAATATGTAGTGCATATAGAACTATATCTTCAGAAGCAGCATGTGTTATTGCTGGAATTCCACCAATAGAGTTCCAAGTCATCGAGAGAAAAGAGCAATATGCAGGCATTTTCAAGGGAATCGCAGAAAATTTGATGAATAACTGGCATCGAAAATGGGACAGCGGTCAATACGGTAGATGGACACACCGATTAATACCTGCAATAGAGAGTTGGTTGAATTGAACCTACGGAGAGGTGGACTATTACCTCACCCAGGCACTGTCGGGGCATGGTTGTTTCCGTAGGTACCTATTTAACCCCAGAAGAGCAGAATCTTCAGATTGTCTTTACTGCAATGTGGACGACGACGTAGAACACACCCTTTTAGTCTGTATAAGATGGGAAAATGCGAGACTTTTGTATGCACGTGAAACAAACACCATATCCGATGCCAAAAATATGATGGAAAGTTTCTTACGTGGTGAAGAGACTTGGAATAAAACCAATTGGACGATAAGAGAAATCATCAAAACTAAGGAAAGAGAGAGCAGGTGACGAGAAACTCGAGTAATAAGTTCAATAAAACTTGAGATCAGTTGGAGCACAAATCAATGACCAAATGTGATAGTTAGCTGCCAAAAGTTCGTCATAATAACTGTGATATTTTCTTCAAATGTATATGTAACCGTTGAATAGTTCTTAAATTTACTTTTAGTGTTTCACACAAACACTGCCTAGGGTATACGTATCGAAGTAATGTGAGAGCAGTTTCTGGTTAAAAAAAGATTGTTGGTAGCAGTCAAGAACTTAGAAGCTGAATTTGGTCCACATTCATGAGAACATATTTTTTACTGTTTCTATTTGAAGGTTTTTCATTTCAATCAGCACTATAACAAAAAAATTTGAAGTTCTGGTTTACAACAAAAATACCACAGACAGACAATTCACTCAACAAATAAAATTTCTACAGTTTTTAACGCAAATGGTGAAATTTGATAAGTAATAACATGGACTGGGGTGAAAAGAACAAACCTACTGAAATGTGTAAATGAAAATGAACCAAATGAAGACAACTGTATAGGAACTAACAATCAAAATTATACTGGACATATTTTCTGATACTGATCCTATATACTTTTATATCGCTTTTATGTTTACTAAGTATTTATTTATTATACTTCCATGAACAATTTAGCAACACAAAGTCTACTCAATATATTAATAAATATTGATCAAGTATTAATTCAATAATTTGTGTTCGAAACAAAAGTCTATTTATTTGATCACTTATTCTTCCTTATTTTGATATTTGGTAAAGACGCATTCATTGCAACATATTTTTCATAAAAAAAAGTTTCTTGGCTTTCTACTAGTCCATCAATAAACAAAAAAATTTGGGAAACTTCTAAAGGAAGGAAGATAGAAAAAACTATTGAAAAACCTTTATGAAGATATGTAGATCACGAACAGAAGTTTTTTTTATTTACAGACAGGAATAAAAAACTCTATCACAACAACTACTTTCACATAAACATTGAATTTCACGTAAATTACATTCTTCATTCAATGATGGAGAAACAGAAAGATAAAAAACTTATTTTTTGTTTTTTCACTATTTCAAGACAGTTTGATTAATTTCCGCCATTCTTCTAAAACACGATGCAAATGCAAGAATATTATATTTGTTCCCATTTATAAACGGTTCTGGTACTAAATGTCTGCATCAAATTCAAAACAGTTACCCAGAAATGTGGAATGTAATATTCTGTAAAATACTACCTGCATAGAGATTACAAGTCAAATTCAAGATATCAATATGAGTTTGTAATCCATAAACGTGCACAGAATTTGTTAACAAACTCAGGCACAAATTCAACAAATCGGGTATTTTTAAGTTTTCACAAAATTGATAGTCCCTTGTGCACCAACTATTTTTATAAACCGTACAAGGAAAGGCATTGGATAGCCGAGAAAGGGTTTCAATACATCCACTCTAAAAACACAAAAAAGATAATTTATACATTAGAGAGTCTGTCGAACTATTTCATAAATTAAATGAAATATACAGTGCATTTCTTTAATG